TTACGCTAATCACCCTGAGGGATTTTCTCTCTATGAGTAGTTAAGAAAAAGTTTAAAGTTGAGAGCAAGTGTGGACTTTCTTTGTCTCATCCGCATGAATCGAACTAACTGGTAAGATCACCAAATAGCAATAATAATAATAATAATAATAATAATAATAATAATAACAGTTTATTAAACTCTCTTGCAGTACCTTATTGATTTACGCGTTATAATACAATGAAAACTCAATGAGATCAACTATTTACATGACTGTATATGTTAAGTACAAATTATATGCACCACACCAGAACATGTATCACATTTGTTAGAAATACTTAAAAATACTTAAAAGTGAAAAATTCTTCGGTGCGCTTTGTTCTACAGGTAGTAACGTTTCTGTAAAAGTACCGCTGGTCTGATTTGTGCCTTAAAGTGTAGGGACAGGTACTGTCTAGGCGTGTTGGTAGAAGAGGATGAAGAGGGTGGTTTAAGTCCTTCATCTTGTACATATACTCTTTACATATCTTATCTCTTCTATACGCAAGAGTCTTCACTCGTGCTAACTCGAGGGCATCTGAGTAGCTATCAGCACACGGGAAAATATCTTAAGCGCCTTTTTCTATATGGATTCAATTATGTCAGGCAGATAACCTGAAATGGATTGCCACAACGGCACCGTGTACACTAGAAGAGATCTAACAGAACTTGTATATACATCTAACATGCTACCTTGGTCAACGCCGGCTCGACATAGAATATATAGGGAGTAGAGCTTCTTGCAAGCTTTTTTATATATGTAGTCAACATGACTATTCCACCTAAGGTCGCTATCGATAAATACTCTTAGAATCTTGTAAGTCGATACACGTTCTATACAGTTGTTACCAACAACTAATGGTCTGAGAGTAAAGTTAGGATATGACATAAAGTTAATTAACATCTCTTTACATTTTATAGAGTTTAGACTCATGTTGGGATCCATAGAGAATTTGTGAATGTCAGATACAATCGAATTGAGCAGACTGATAGAGTTCCTGGGTAGTATTTCTATGGCAGACATATCATCCACAAACTTGACTCTGAAATGCCAATCAGCTGAAAGATTGTTTGTCATTATTGTGAAAAGTATCACTCCCAGTTTTGTTCCCTGAGGCATACTCTCTGCCTGCTCTCTGTCTGTTAGGAACGCCGCAATCCAACTGATGAGCGCGGGATCAACCTCTAGTTTTCGCAACTCAGTCTTTAAGATGTTATGGTCAATTAGATCAAAGCCTTTCGAGAAGTCAGCGATCCTAGATGAGCACAATCTACTTCCTCGTAAATGGCTTGTAACATGAATAGAAGAGCATCTGTTGTCGAGTGGCCTCTACGCGCAAACTGTCGCGGGTCGATTTTTCCATGTAATTGTGGCAGTAGTTTATTGCCCGTGAATCTCCCATGACTTTAGCCAGTGTACACGTGAGTGATATCGGGCGGAGTTCGCTCTTTAATTCTCTTGGTGGGTTTACCTTCGGGATTGGGATGATGATGGAAGATTATAGAGGTGATGGGATGTATCCCTCCTTAAGAGACTGGTTATAAATGTTTCGGAACTAGCTCGTGTACAAAGTTCTTAAACTTTGATGTTGTCGGGTCCTACAGCTTTCGCAACGTTAAACGTCAGGGATCGGAACACTTCCTCGTTGGAGACCAAAGTTCCCTGTGGTACTAGGCTTGGGGGAGAATCACCGGTCAAAGGTGTAAATTGGTCTGTAAGACTTACAAAAAGTCATTAATCTTATTTGCAAGTAATTTGGTATTCATGGTATCCCCAAGAAATTGATGGTATCACTCCTGCTAAGTGTCTCGGCATGGAGTGACTTTACTTGCCTCCACCACTTACTGGAATTAGTGGATTCCACTTGAGCAACTTTATCATGACAGTAGTGATTTTTAGCTTTTTTGACCTCGCCCTGGACCTTGTTCCTCCAAAATTTGTAATTCGAAGAGTCCCTTCCAAGTCTGAGAAATGCAGATTGTCTTTTGCGAATCTAAGATTCCATTTTTTAAGAGATCCAGGGACGGTCAGTAGTGTGTTTCTTAACTACTTTTCGTGGAAGGAAGGAATCAATAGCAGAAGTAAGTTCCATCGTCAACAGCCTGAACGTGACTTCACAAGACTCAGTATTAAGAACCGAGTACCAATCCTTCTCGGTCATCCATCGCCCCAGCGCACACCATGCACTGTCGCGCATATCGCGTGACTCTATTTTCTTAATGACCGGTTTGTGTTCGGATGATATCATTGGTCTGGCCAACATGGTATAATGATCAGATGAAGCGACTTTGGGCAATTGCGATAATCAAGGATATTAAAAAGCCTCCTCATTCAAAACAAAAATATTCAGAGATTTTAACTCAGACTGGCTTCTTATGATAAAAATCAATGCTGGAATGTTGCCACTTCCAAACTGGGCCATTGCCCGATACGAAGTTACCGGCATGCTAAGAATTCCAAATCGATTTTTCAAAGAAACAGAGATATGTGTCTTCAAAGTTGCACATCAGCAAAAGCGAATTCAAAATATATTATATTCAATATCAGATAAATATAGAGTCGTAGAATGCCCTAGGCGCATTAGAAATTGTTTTAACTTCAAATATTTCTCATTTCTAATGAAATACATGATTCAGTTTGTTGTGCTCCAATTTTCTTAGTTAGAGACTATATCCATACTGCTATAGTGTTGTTCGTAAATTGAATTTATAATTGTAACAGGACCGAGTGGAGTCTAATTTCGCTCGTTCATGAGTATGATTAAAGACCGAATTGGACAACACGAAGTCCCGTTACCAATTAATCACAACCATTACAATTTAAGAAAATACATATACATGTATATTTACTCTATTTTCGGTAGAGACACTGCTTTGTAGGGTAAGTGGTTGTTACTAGGTTATTGTAATAATCAACTCTTTAAATGGGGGATTTGGTAGAGTGGACTTATGTTTGGCCGCTTTAACTGTCCGATTACAGGTGTCCAATTACGGTCGACTGTCCGATTACAACTCTACAGATTAATTAGTGCTAAAATAAAGCGGCTAACAACACATTGAGGACATTGTAATGGTTATGACTGGTCTTGGAGGAGAGAGAGGCGAAACTGTTATGTTTTGTTACTTAAACAACTCGTAAGTTTCATTACTCTATTAGCTTTGCTTGGTCCCTAAAAAATGCAACTGGTTCTTTACCTGTCTATACTACACCATAAATGGTGCTAATCAAATCTGATTCAATTTCCCAAAGACTTCTGCAAGATGGAATTTACATCTTCTCTTGCTTTCCCTGGAAAACGGCTCATAAACCACCTGATACGAACCGTAGAATCCCCTGTGCAAGACTTCTGCTCAGCTCTATGCTACGTGGAACCCAACTGCGTCAGCTATAACGAATTAGTGACCAGCGGATCTCTAGCAATCACAAAATGCGAACTGAATAATTCCACACATAATGAACATCCTCAGGATCTCAGGTCCGGGACAAACTATAAACATAAAGCAACAGTGGTGAGTACTTCCTAATCCTATTTTTGCTTTTCGTTTATCCTTAGTTTGGTGATTTCTGATGGTTGGTTGGTATCCTACCATGGCCACGCGAATAAGAATCTGAATGAATAAGGGTCTGAATGAGGTTGAGTGTTTAGTGTTATTTTCTCATATTTTTTACTGTTTACTGTTAAATTGGCCATTTTTTTAGTGTTTACTGTTCTTGAAAAAAATACTGTTTAGTGTTTGAAAGGAGACCCCGAAGTTGTTTCAGCATTTTGAAATTTTATCTGCCCTTTTAAATTCTGCAAGAAAATCAAGAAAATCACTCGCGAACAGTGAGCTAAGGCTGAAATGCTCTTGTCCTTAGAACCGATAGTGCGCCTTACCAGACCCTCAGTACAAGATGTACTTAAGGGGATACATTTGGTAATCCACACAATAGTTCCTGAAAAGTATCGCTTCTGGAAATCCAACCAAAGAGATGTTTGTAAAATACCAATTGCACTTGAAATTGGGCCCTAAGGCAAAGTACTGGCGTTAGACTACGATTTCGACTCTCGAGAGTCTCGTCTCGTAGAACTGCGTTTACACCGACCAGTCGATGTAAATGTTCGGAAGGAAGTATTCAAGTATGCGCGGCACCTATGCTTTACCAATGGCATAGTCTTCGTTGCAGAGAGAGGCTCATCAGCAATCCATTTCATTGAATTGAAAGGCGAAGTACTTTTAAAACCCAAACACCTAAAATCGCGAGCTGATTTGCTTTCGCAGCTAAGTCGTTTCAGCTTGTCACTTGAGGGTAGGTCCAGTTCTACGGAAGCGGTTGAAGACACAACTGAGATCTTTAGCTGCACAAGTCGAGAATAAAGAAATTGTCCAGATTAACCCAGCTTGAAGTAAACCAACTTCCATCTGTGAGGCAAGTAAGGATATCCTCTTGTGTGCAGATGATGAGCAGAGGAGCATAATGCAGCTGGAATTAGAGTACAATGGAGTGGCTATCATCTGTAGTAGGCTGTGGCAGATAAACTACCCCAATGACGTGACAAGTGTTTAATCTCTTTATGTTCTGCGGCAACAGCATACTTGGCTGCGACTGGTGCAGCTGGATGGTTATATGGTTGTAACCTCGATTCCGTCGATGTTGAGCGACTCTTGCGGAATTCTTCAGATTCTTGCAAGGAAATTAAGAGGCTGTATGGTTATGAGGGCAACATTGTTTTCACCGACAAGTGCAACAGTCGAGACCTTGTTGGGTACTGGCCATGAAGGAACCGCTGATGGAACTGAAGAAAGCTGCTCATTTAAACAAGTCCATGCAATCTGTTCCTTGCAGAACACTATTTTGTTTCTGATATAGCTGCTGGAACAATCAAATTAGTTTCGGCGCTTACTGACACAGTGTCCTTTCTTCGCAACCTCGGATGTCTCCATGATAGTTTTTGGAATTGGTGCACCTACGATCGACGCGGTCCAATTATCTCTTCAAGATGCTGTGTGTTTCATCTGTAAATACTTATTTTAAAAACACAGTCGCTGAAGTAAGGCAGCATTATAAAATGAAAGAAACGGCAGCAACAAATGGCCCTGAAGGAACTGTTTCCAGCAAAACACAGGAGTCATTGGTACTTCTCGAACGATGTATGGAACAGCTACGAGATAACGTTAAGAATGTAAACGAGGACTATCTTGATGACATTGACCTGCGTACGCTGCTAACAACTCAGGTGGAGAACCTTCATGCAGTCTCCCACTTCAAAAACGAGACTTTCACTGCTCTTCAGCATGCTCAAGACTTTGGAACAATTTCAAAGGAATCTTTAAAGAGAACACCGAAGTGGGGTGCGAAGTACTTCACACTTCAGAAGTCTTATTATCCAGTGCCTAAATCCGGTGTGGAGTTACGGGACGTAAATTTGATGAAAGCCTCTCCAGCTGGTAACCTTGATCCCAACATTGAGGCAGCCATTAAGGAATTGGTTGACAGGTATCGACCTGTCAGGCAAAGGACGGCAAGAAGCGAATCAATAAAAGACAAAGCGGGAACCGAGCCGCCAGCTGTATATTCCAGTACGCCATCATGTACTAGAGTAACATTCCAAGAGGATGTTCAAGACGATCCAGGGACAGGCAATGAAGAACGAGTCGACCAGGATACAAATATTCCACGAGCTACAAACGAAGTACCGAGAATCACCTTCGTTGACGAAAGCATGCTCGGAGTTGTCGCAGTTGGTGACGTGAGAGACCTCCCCGAGCAAGAGGATGAATTCGACACCGACTCGGAGGGCGATGCGGACAATGATACAGACATAACGTTCAGCAGATTTGGTTGCGCCACCCGCGCTCATTTCCGCCTTGATCTCTAGAAACAATTGGGACTATCAGGACAATCAGGACTATTCAGGTATGGAATATAATTAAATGTTTTTGTCCAGGATGGAGTGACATGTCTCATTTTTGTTGACCATTATACATTGTGAGTAATTTAGCCTATCTTCTTGGTAAAAGAAATATTCTGTTATTGCAATCATTACTAGTCAAATTAAAACACTCGTTCATGTTAACTTTCATTTTCCTTGTAATTTTCGTAATTATCTCTTTTTGTTTACAGTGCGGATATCCCAACTGGGACCATCTCACAAAGCTGACCGATCCTATTGAGGTATTCATACAACGGATGACGATCTGTAAATTTGCTTAATTTTACTGTTTATTTCGATGTTCTATCGCATTGGCTGTTTGATTTGAATATCGTAATCTGATTTTTTACTGATATATTTTCTCTAAGTGGTCACAGTTGGTGTATCCTCGCTGTAAAAGCGCTTTAAGAATAGAACTGTTATGAGTTATACAAGCCAAATCTGCGGTAGTCTTCAAATATCGTCGGTCATAAGTCAGTGGACATCTTTGGCAGTCTCAGTGGACATCTTCGGCAGTCTTTGGATATCTTCGGCAGTCTTTGGACATCTTCGACAGTGTTCGGACATCTTCGACTGCCTTCAGACATCTTCGACTGCTTTCGGACATCTTCGGCAGCTTTCGGATATCTTCCTCACTCTTCGGAAGTCTTGAAATAATCCCGAATTGTTAGAAAATGACCAAAAAAACCTCTTTGATAGAATAAACATAGGTCCAACATAGATATTTCTCATTTTAGGGCGTGGTTTGTTTCTTTATGGGAAAAAAATAATGTTACAACGAATTTTTTAATGTTAGTGTTAAAATGGCTAAAAGTTAACTGTTTAATGTTATACAGCCAAAAAATAAGTGTTAAGTGTTATCGAAGTACCCCCATTCAGACCCTCGAATAACATTACTGGTCACTTAATAGATTAGTATATAAAGCTGGCTCAACCTCGGATTGTTTAGCTTGTAAATGTTTCGATGGTAAGTTGTTTCGCAGCCATGTTGTTGGCTGGCTGCGCAAGGTTTGTTTGCAGTTGGTTTTATGGTTGATTTGTTGCCTGGACGCGGAAAACAACTATTTGCGTCATTTGCGTGAATGTCCATTTGCTTTGTTCCATGTTTTTTCAATAGGACGCTTTCCTTCATAACAATAGGTCGGTTTGGGCTGCTTAGTCCACAGCTGGGAGCTGGTGATCGACCTAAAACTTGTGGCATACGTGTGGGGTAGAAACAGAAGACCGTAGTCTCGAGGCCAACATGGAATTTTTTGCATGTTTCATGTTCGTAACTTGCGTTGACTTGCTTGACGTTTGGAAAAGATGATTGGAAAACTGCCAATCATTTTCCATCGTTCGATTCATTTATGGGTGCAATCTCATTTCATATTTTCATTCTCTTCGCTGATACAGAAAGAAGTAACAGATAAACTAAGTAAGGAAAACAGCTACGTCCACCATCCACACATAACTGTAACTCATTTTTGTAAAATAAAAAGGTATTTAACGAAGATTTTTAAGCGTATCCTACTCAGAAAGTTGGATATGAGATGGAAAACACAAACAACCTCGACAACTACGAATTACGTCAATTAAAAAATCCTTTATTCTCAACCCTCTTATCTCAATAACATGTACGTATTACACTGTTAAGTTCAGTTCCATTGTAGTTTGATGTTTTTTCATCGAACGGAGGTAGAATTTTACTGCTCTTAACCATCTCAGAGAAATTTGTTTTACCCTAGAACATTGCTAGAGTATGAAAGAGTTTTTTACGAGTCCTAAAAAAAGTTATTGATGCAGAAATCTTTAGGGACCAGTTTAAAATTCACTCAAAAATTAATGACCCAGTATAGTTGGATTATTGGGAAAATTGACATAAATGTTGCGTACGACTTGTGAAGTTTTTTTAATATCAAAATTTAAGGTATTGCAACGTCCGCTCGTTTGCCACTGGTCAAAAATACCTTTGATTTTAGAAAGAGCCTTCTTAACCTTTTTCGTCAACCTCAAATGCCGAGGTCAAAACTTTTTACAGAGGAAAAAATAGTTTTTTTTCGGTCTTATTTCTCAGACGAACCCCATTTATACTCACAAAGACTGGGTATACATAACAGGTGGCATCTGGAAACAGTTAAAAAAGAAAAGATAACTTGACTACTCTCCTTCTGAGATGTATAATGTTTGACTTTTTTCGTTTCAAATTTACTTATCTTCGGGGAAAAGGTCGATTTATCACATTTATACTGAATTTATTGACAGGAAACAATGGCACGTCTCTATAATCATTAGCATAAATTTCCTATTTCCAAGATAACCAGTCTTAATAGCCATAGGTGATTATTAAATGCAATTTTTTTTATAACTTCTCCACTACGACGAAGGTAAGAAACGTAGATAAAATATTGGCGGATCGCTTTTCTTTGCGGGTTTTGTCCTATCTGCCCTGAAATAATATCGCTCCGGACAAGTCATAAGAATGCCTCGCACGATTTTACGTATAAAGACATGAAATAAAAAAGCCAGAATATGTGCCAGTCTATTTTCATTTCTTCTCAAAATTCTATTTTATCTTGCTTTAGGTTTTTGTTTGTATGTAGATTTTGGTAACTCGATCTGTTTCAATTTTCCATCACATTTCGTTCAACTTTTCATACAGCAGTTAGCTTTCGGGTTTAGGAAACGTTTGGAGATGAACCTGGTGTGTTAGAAATTTAATTTCTAATTCCATTTTCTACTATACGTTATCTCAAAGTCGTAATAGTCCTGTAAATTTTCGCATTGTTTGAACTTTCATGATCAGTTTCCTTCTCCTAACATTTGTTTGAAAAAAATTTACATTCCTTCCGAGAATCCCTTGTGATTTGTGTCTAGTAGCTGCATTTTTTAAATGGACGTTATCATGATTTACATATCCAGATGTAGATGCTACTCAAGGGGAAGTGATCGAAGCAGTTTTTTCGTTTGTAAGAGTCCTTATGCAAAAACAGTTTTAGCAAGTTGTTTTGAAAATAATCCTTGATAAACTATTGTACTTTATGATTAAACACCAGGGCACATCTGGAAGAAAATAATGGTTGGAGTAGGAATAGTAGTAATTAGCCCTAATCAATTATTAAATTTGCCGTCATCGTCATAAATATCCTTGTTTACCTCGAAGCTTAATCCGCAATTAGAATAATGTATATTCCAAAGAAGGCCTAACTGTCATTGTCTTAAAGACTTTGGAACCTCGAGAACATGTGAGGACATGTGAATCAAGCATCACTAACGTTAGGAATTTACCTAAAGCTTGATCATGCAACTCAAACCACTTAGATATGAAAGTTAATATGGTCAGATTCCAAGCGAATGAAGTTTTGAGCAGTTTAAGTTTAACACCTAATGAAGGGAGATATCCACACGCTAAAGAGCTTTGTATTAGGGTTGATTACCAATTCTTTCAAACGATTTTAGGAGCGAAGTTTAATGAGAATAACACGTCTGTGTATTTTAACTCCAAAAAAATGACAAATTTAAGCAGACTTGAAACGGGAACATGACTTTTCTGTCAATTAAATTTAAAATTTTAAAAATTTCTTAATTAAAACGTTCAAGAGAACTTAACGTCTAAGTGTCTGTTTTTCCTGAGGTTTTCCGTGGCCATCTTTAAAATAAGGAACGGGAAATGAAGGAAAGGGAAATATGAGAAAGGGGACTGGGGAATGAGGAATCTTTAAAATAGGAATCTTGAAAAGCGGGAATCTTTGAAAGCGAGAATCTTTAAAACTGGGAATCTTTAAAAGTGGGAATCTTGACTGAGGTTGGTTAAATACCTATGAGTTGATGTTGGAATACTTGTAAATTCATTTGTTTCGATTCTGTATGAAAGCCTTAGCAAAAAAAATTTTTTAGGCCCGATTTCAAGTGCACGGGTTAAAAGAAGAGGTATCAAAGATATTTAATTATTTGATATCTAGATTGGTCAAATTTCAAATCGCGAATAAAGGTGATTTCAGTTAATTTATGAATATTTCGACCGAGTTTTAGACTCTTCATAAAACCTATTTAATAAACCTCGTTTTAAAGAATCTCGCTTTTAAAGATTCCTCATGTAGCAGATTCTCCATTTAAAAGACTTTCCCGTTTTAAAGATTGTTGCATTTAATGATGCCCGCTTTTAAAATTCGCCACTTTAAAGATTCCCCGTTTTAAAGAATCCTCGTTTTAAAGATTCCCGCTTCAAGGATTCCCGGTTTTAAAGATTCCTGTTTTTAAAGGTTTCCCGTTTTAAAGATTCCTGCTTTTAAAGATTCTACATTTTAAAGATTTCCACTTTTAAGGATTCCTCTTTTTAAAGATTCCTGCTTTTAAAAATTCTACATTTTAAAGATTTCCGCTTTTAACGATTCCTCATTCCATTCCCCACTCCTGTTCACCTGCACCCCCGTTCTCCTGCTCACCCGCACCCCTGCACCCCCTGCACCCCCGCACCCCTGCTCCCGCGCTCTCCCGCTCTCCGCTCTCCCGCCCTCCCGCCCTCCCGCCCTCCCGCGCTCCCGCCCTCCCGCCCTCCCGCCCTCCCGCTCTCCCGTTCTCCCGTTCTCCCGTTCCCCCGTTCCTCTGTTCCCGCGTTCCCCGTTCCGTCTTTTAAAGATAGCCGCCGTCAATTAGACCTTCTAAAGAAATTAATCCAAATTTTCACAATGTTGTACTAAGGACTGATTTCGGAGTCTGATACATATGACCCAATTTTCTCCATCGAGCGAAGCGGATAACATACATTTGCCTCATTTGCATTAATTTCCACAGAAAACTGACAGCTGCAAGCTATTTTTAAATTCATTTTTATAATACGGTTTCGTTCATAAAAACAGGTCGATTTTGGAAGCTTAATCCCCTGCTGGGAGCTGGTGATCAATTTAAAACTTGTGCCATACGTGCGTGGTAGAAACAGAAAACCGTTACCTTGAAGCGGACATCTAATTTGTTCCAGTTTCTATGTTCGTAAGCTACAATGCATTATTGACTAACTTGACTTTTGGAAAAGGTGAGTCGCAGACGGCGAAGCATTTTTTATCCTTCGATTCAGCTATTTGTACAATGTTAATTATATAACTCCTTTATTCTCTTCTCCTGATACAAAAAGAGTTAAGGTTACAACAATTTGCAAACACTAAGTCAAAAAGCGGCATTCAACATCCACCCATGATTGGAACTCACTTTTGAAAAATTAGAAGGTATTTGACGAAAATTTTTTATCGTTTCTTATTCAGAAAATTGAAGATTGGATGCAAAACGACCACAACCTTTGGTAAATACGAATTATTTCATTGAAACTGTTCTATTCCTATCTCCTCTCTCTCAATAACATTTAAACGTGACACTAATGTTCTGTTAATTTACCTGTGGTTTATCAGGCGAGAATTTGATCTTTCTGCATCCTACGGAAGCTCATTTTTAACACTCTTGATCATCTCAGAATTATTTTTACAAGAGAACAGTGCTAACATATGATAAAGAATGGTTATATTTTTCTTGTTGCATATTCGTCCATAAACATAGTTTATGTATCAAAAGTAAAACTCGGGTATTCTACAGTAGTCTCCGGGAAAGTTATGAGCAAAAACACACTTAAGGATTAGTTTAAAGGCATTCACCTCAAAAACAGGTGGCATCTGGCATCTGGCATCTTGACCTTGGTTTGAGAAAGATAGTTTTTGACTATTTTCATTTGAATTTATTATTTCTTGCAAAACGTCGAAGTTTCTAATGTATACTGAATTTATCGGCAGAAAAATCTTGAACACATGTGTGAATCTCCTGCGTGATGCCAAAACAACGATGTTTAGTTGCAATGGAAATTAGCATAAATTTTCTCTTTCTATGATAATCGGTCTAATTAACCAAAGGTGATCGCGTTAACTCAAGTAGGAAAAATCTGAATTTGAATTCGGATAATAACCCGCGGCTCCTTTAATCCTGCATACTAAAAGAAAACGGTTGGCTTCACTCTCAAACAAGGTTATGATCCAATTAAAAGCGAAATAACTCAAGGTCTTTCCAACGAAAGCAGATTATCAATACTCAGGGTTTACTAAGTAACTTTTGCATGATTATATCTACGCAACACAAAAGCTCTGGTAAACAATATGTTGCTCTGTTTATCTAAAAAATTAAATGTTGAATTTTTCAATAACAACCTAGAAAGGATTGGTCATCGGATAAATATTGGAAGATTTATATTTTAACCTTTCTTGCCGTTTTGGTTACTGAACTTGTAGATAAATAGAGGGTTTAAACAATCTTCAGGATTTTTATTTCATAAAAAATGAAGATAATCAGCAGCTTGTAAATGTTGATTACCCAACTTGTTAAAGACTGTATTTTTTCTCGCCCAATAACTAGACTATATTATTAACTCTGAAGTCTTTGTCGAGGTCGAGTCGTTGTTACTTCACATTTGGAACTAAAATGGGAATAGAGATATCGTTCTTCTGTGGGAGTGGCCTATCAGGAGGACATTTCAAAATGCCATAGCAGATCAAAGCTATCATTCCACAAAAGCTGAGGGAGCCTTCAAAATTAAAGCGTACTATTCAGAGTTGCGCTGATCCTCCTTGACGATTGGCATCATATCGAGCATTGTGCAAATCGTTTACTCATGAATTAGGAAGTACTTTGACGAATTTTCAGGCAAGGTTTTATTGCGCGTGTAGCATGATTGCTTTATGGCTTCATCTGGTTCCAAACAAGTTTTGTTGAGAGAAAACTCTGATTTTTCTTCATGAACCCATTTTCAATATTTTCATATTCAGCACAAGCAAAGAAGTATGTGGTGGCTATTCCGCCATTTCAGATTCGTCCTTTTCGCTGCTTCCATGGAGATTGTCACAACTAATGATCAATGCAGGACCGAAGTTAATATACAAGGAATGGCTCTCAAGCGTTCTGTCTTCAAAAGATGGTCACTGGCGGCTCCTCACCTCTGCGATGTCAAATGTGGACTAGAGATTTCGTGCCAAAGCTATAACTACAATCCAAAATACCAAATATGTGAACTTAATAACCGCACCAAGGAGGCGAAACCAGAGAATTTCCTTTCAGCACCCGCGTGGTTTTACATTCGGCGATTGAACGGCAGAGGTAAGAAATCAAAGTCTTTCTATCTATGTGATTTCTTTTAAATCTTATCCATCCTCAGCCTGGTTCCTTCGCACGTAGAAGAACTAAGAATAGGAGCCGAGCGTAAAACATATCTTTACTGCAGCTCCCCTAGGTTCTATCCCTGAATCAACGGCGCTGTCTTGTCACGAAATAAAGGCGAGTGAAGGTAAACACACTATTAGCGGCAAGTACTGGCTGGATCCAACTGGGAAAGGAAAGGCAAAACTGATTTACTGTGATATGGTTAACGAAGGTAGGTCCTATAACTTTGCTTGAGATATTTTACTTTGTAACGAGTTATCAGTGTCATGAAATTATCATTAATTATACCATTATTAATATCATTATCGTAATATTTGGTTTGGATCAGTTCTAGTGTGGATGCCTCTCTCAAGTTGCTCCAACTTACTCATTACTTCTCTTTCAACATTTTAGATATGGATGAATGTAAATTTAACATCAGTGACTGCGACGTGAGTGCAAACTGTACTAACACATATGGTTCTTACAAATGCACATGTAAAGTGGGATACATCGGCGATGGACGCTCATGTACAGGTAATTTTGAAGATGACCTTATTGATATTTCCCACTAAAACTAATATTTTTTAATCGTCTCATAGTTTTAAACAGCGTTAGCCATGCATGTTTATGCACAGAGTTACCATGATCTACACTCTGGCTTGTTTCAGAGCCGTCAGCTTGCTAATTAAAATATTTGTGCTGAAATATAATTTCACAATATCTAATTCATGTAGCACAAGAAGGGAAACATTTGTTTCATAATTTGTAATGATTAAAGGAATTAGACGACTATGAGTCATAAAAATGATAAAGTGCAAAATGTATTTATGGTTTCTCAGATATTGACGAGTGTAAAGGAAATCACTCTTGTCACGTGAATGCTACCTGCACGAACACCAAAGGATCGTATGTTTGTAGTTGTCACCCCGGATATACTGGAAATGGACGGGACTGCACAGGTACTTAATGCGTTTCTATCGTAACCATTCCCATTGGAACGAAAAACGCTTTCATCTTTGCAAGACTTGTTTTACCAGCATACCTTGTATAAAAAAGAGATGAATGTAGGCCTGAAGACGATGGTAATAATAATACATTTGAACTTAGGGGAACCGAGAAAAAACTCTTGTGAGTGGTAATGTGAAGTGCTTCAGTCTAGAACCACAAGACAAAAAGACTAAGATTTGCTCGGCAACTTTTTCCCAATTACAATTCTTTTTTTATGTTTATGATTTTACAGATATTGACGAGTGTAAAGGAAATAACTCTTGTCACGTGAATGCTACATGCAAGAACATCCTTGGTTCACATGTATGTCAATGTCACGCTGGATATACTGGAAATGGACAAAACTGCTCAGGTGAAATTAATCTCGTCGTTACAATATTTAGAATAGTCTTGCATGACACGTTCAACTACAGTGCCGCACCATTCAGCCGCGTTGCAAGACAATTAGATAATTTATCACTAAGAAACTCGGCCATTTTGTCCTCATTCAATACATAGAGAATAATACATGGGATCGGGTTGATTTGGAGTTTCTCTTCGAGCGTTCAACTCACTATCTCATAACTGCAAGCAACCATGTATTCTTTTGTTTATCATATAAATACAATAGACCTTTACTGAGAAGAGAAGTAGACTTTTTTGAAGAATGTAATTATAGGTTTCACAATCCACGAAGAAAGTCTGCCAAGGAAGGCTACCAAGGCGAATCTTTAACGAGTGATATCCGGAGAGATTCCGCTGCAGTGGAAGTTTTGGTTCAGTCTAACAATTAATTTGTCACAATGATTACCAAATATATGCTTTTTCACCTCATAAGAGTTAAAAAAAACAACGAATGTTTATATCACTCGTGTAGAATTTTTCTTTTCTTTCCCACCTTTTCTTTAGACATCGATGAATGCCAAAAAAATAATCACGATTGTCACCTGAACGCTACTTGTCAAAACACAAATGGATCCTTTGTGTGCACCTGTGTATTTGGATTTAACGGAGATGGACGGAACTGCACAGGTAAAGGCCTTTAGATTGTAATTGCCTCGTTATGACTTTAAGAAGTGTTAGTTTGCTCGTGTTTGTTTTTTTGTATGTTTTTTTAATTTTTACTTTCCTTCTTGGTTTGTTTGTTTGTTTGCTTGTTTGTTTTGATAAAGTAGTTACCCTTGCCTTAATATTTTTCATCAATGGTAGAAAATGAAAATCCTTAATCCCACTTGAAAGCAAGACCACAAAATGCTGAACATTCTCGCTGACCAGCTTTCTCTTTCATAAAATAAAGCGACCAGCAACTCTCTAACGATAATTATCGCACTCAGTGTTCAAAATAAGAAGGTGTATACATGTATCATAAACCAAGAATTGTGATTGAAAGCCAGTAATTTCTCAGACATAGACGAATGTGCAAGAAATCTTTCTTGTCATGTGAATTTTAACTGTACGAACACCACTGGATCGCATGTATGTACATGCCTCACTGGATACACTTGAGATGGACGAACTTGCTCAGGTGATTTTAATAATTTTCCTTCAATCCCAGCTATTCAAAGCGAAAAGTAATCTAAAACGTCCTTTTAACTCATATTATGGTACCAGAAGTAGTCAAACATTCATCCTAAAATGTAGTTCTACTCCATAATTCACCCTCATCAGAAATGGTGGATTATTTTATTTATTCCTAAATCTTTTGAGACTAGGTTTGCAGTACTTTGTTGTTTCTTGAAATATTCCTCGCCAATGTTAAAAAGAAAGGTCACCGCGCTTGTTTAAGAGAAATGGCGGGCCAAACTTACCCCATTTATGCTTCTACAAGCAATTTTTCACGCGCCTCATTTCACGGTACATTTTTCGGTAGCTGGAAGCAAGGGTTTTCAAGGTAAAAAATTGAGATAAAAACTTGAAAGGTACAAATTCTCGAACGTAGGGAACAACGTTTTTATATGATATGTGGAAAAAAATCAGGTAGTTTTAATCGACATGGACTCAAACGTTCCTCGAGTAGTTGTTTTCAAGGTTATAATTTGCATCATCAAGTAACGTGCTTTAAACTATATATTTTTTTTGCCCTCGATCATTTTTAAAAATTTTTCCAATTTAAAGGGGATAATTTGTACGAAGAATAGAGGTCACTTTTTTAGTTCAAGAGCTAACGAGAATCGTGCCTCTTTGCATGGTTCATTTATTAAAATACAATACTGTGTTGATGGAATTATCCGCCCGATTACGAGATTTTTGTGCGCAGTACGGGATGCCCAGTGCAATACTGAGGAACCTCCTTTAGACTGATAGCTATCAATTTGTTTCGCTCATTTCCATAATTAATGAAAACAAGGAAGCAGGCAAGACGACGTTATCGTATTTAATGAAGACGAATACCACTGTTATATAGTTCAGTGCTTGGGCGATGGAGATCCACTGACTGCTAGGGAGACTGGGGAAGAAATGTCAAATGAGTCACTAGAAATGGAAGATGAAGATATTCAGAGAGATACAAGGAGTTCAACCACAAGATCAGGAAGAAAGTAAAGGCGTCCAAAAGAATCATCGTAGTCATTTTACGACTAACTTGAAACACAAGAAACCCTCGGCAGCAGCATCCATTACTCTCACCTGGATGGAATACAAGTCCACGACGTAAGCACTTGATCACGGTACATCTACCCAGCTTGTGTGCAGGTGAAATGGTTGTAATGGTTCACAATATAAACAGTGTCCTAACTTAGGGTTAGGGTTTAGTTTGTTTAGGATTCCCTGTGACTGCGGTAAAGTCATCGGCAAGACAGGAAGACCCATGCAGGATTTAATTAGGGAGCATGATCGAGAAATCCGACTAGCCCATACCCAGACCTCCGCCGTTTCAGAGCACGACTACAACACCGGACATTCGCCACTCTGGAACGAAGTTACGTTTATTGATCGTGATCCTCATTCCTTCACACGTAGGGTCAAAGAGTCAATTCACATGAGAATTCACTCTGATAACATCGATAGGGACGGTGAAATTGAAATTCCAGAAGCATGGATGCCCACGATCCGCAAGAAACACAACAACAGGAGAGCTGTGCGACAACGGACCGCCGAGGGAACAAATCAACGAAACAGGGAGGAAACGCCCCAGGAAAAATGTGTTTTTCTTTATCAGGTACCCAAACATATCACACTCAACGACGTCATCATGGTAACTGGCATTATAGGGATACGAACCACAAGAATTAACGGGATACGGAATGTTTTGACCAAAAAGTAATGGGATACGGGATACTCAGACCCCTAATGGGGCCTCTTTCCTTTAGGATTCTTTCCTTTAGGAAATTTCTTGAAAGTTATGCTGCGTGTGGGGTTTGCATAACTTTCTCAAATTCTCCCAACCTCCTCTCGTGTTCAGACGAGAGTATGTTGACACGGAAAAAAGGCTCTCCATTGCTTAAGCAGTAATCGGCTCCAACACAGTTGTCCAGGCATATCTGCTCAGTTCGAGGAAAAACTATTTACTACACTACAATTCCCACTACGACACAGCAAACTTTTTCACAGTCAAGTAATTCTAGCCTTAGGCAATTTTTGCGGGAGCATTTATTAACAAGTCTACTGGATTGTCAGTCCTATTCACCCAACCACTGCTCCGTCTGCTCCTCCAGATGTCTGAAGCCCCTTTTGTCTCTCTTGTTTTCCTATCCATCTGCCTGACTAAGGGGCTGGCTGTCCTGCCGTGTATTCTTTTTACTCAACTCACATTATTTTGTTCAAAATCAACTCATCATTTATATGCTGGTTATTTTCCCAACAGTAAGATGGATACAGATGACACCATCTACAGTTTGCTTTGGGGAAAGAGATGATTCGTATGGTTTCTTTAGAACTGCCAAAGTGGGTAACATCATCACATTCAAATTAACGCACAAATCCGGTTACGTGACCTGTCATTCATCGAACCCGAGCTATCAATCCAAATGGGGATGCCTTTGGAACCGTCTCCTTCCCAACCAAATGGCCACGTTGATAACTGACAAAACCGTAATCTTCTTCTCCCAAAGAGTGATTTCCTATCAGATTATTGGGGCTGCAAGTTTTACAGCCTGCCTTGGGCCACGACCGAATCGCCACAACTGCTCTTTGATAATTTCTCTACCCCACTGACGGTGGAAACGAACCAAGAATTCCAAATCTGGTACAGTGAGGACTTGTTCAAATGGGGTTATGGCAATAATGGGTACGAGAAAACGTGTGTTGCAGTGTATGGTTTGTATGTTTGAGTAGTCGCCCAAATTACAAAGTAAATTGAAGAAGAGAAATTGAAACGAACCAGGAATTCCAAATCTGGTACAGTGAGGACTTGTTCAAATGAGGTTATGGCGATAATGGGTACGAGAAAACGTGTGTTGCAGTGTATGGTTTGTATCTTTGAGTAGTCGCCCAAATTACAAAGTAAATTGAAGAAGAGAGTGCCAAAATTGTTGTTCACGCCTTTATTACTTCAGTATTAGATAGCTGTAACTCACTACTATATGGTCTACCTAAGCATCTACTTTCAAGGTCGCAATCTGTTTTAAATACAGCAGCTCGAATTGTTACACGCACTAGGATGTTGATCGTATGACCCCAATCCTAAAAAAAAAGCTTCACTGGCTTCCTGTCCGTCACTGTATAGTTTACAAAATTCTTTCATTGGTCTACAAAGCTATCAATGGAGCAGTGCCTTGCTGCATCAGTGACTCACTTAATTGTCGCACCTCTAAACAGACACTATGGTCCTCTTTTCAACACCTTCTAGCGACCACGAAAGTGAGACTAAAAGACATTTTAAAACGTATCTTTTTAAAAAAGCTCATAACTCCTTTTAGTTTTGTTAGATGATAAATATGTTTAATGACCTCAGAATTTTTTCAATTTGTTTATTCCTGTATATAGATATAGAAATTTTTTTCTCTTTTCCCCCTTTCTTTCAGCTTTTTTATGATCTTAACGCAAAGCACCATGGAAATTTAGTGGATTTGGCGATGTCTAAATACATTTTCTATCATCATTTATAATACATGTACTTATGACATCGGGAAAAAATACTCTAACTTTAGTGAGGTTCCTCTCTTCGATTCAAGAACGAAGGAAAAGAATGCTTGTCCTGGTAAAGGCCCTGCTTGGAATCGAGAATTCATAAGAATGACTTGTGAGATTTTAAGATATGCGCCCTAAGTTTGTAGAGATGAAATAAAAAAAACTTGAATATATGCTATTCTATTTTCATTTTCGCTTTGCATCCGTTCCTACAATGGTTGGCCTCCGGGTTCATGGAACATTTGAGAATGAAACTGGCGAGTTATAATTCAAATTCTGCTTCTATTTTCTTATGTAAGATATCTCAAACTGGTATTAGTCCTGCGAGCATTCGCCCTTTTGAATTTTAAAGTTTAATTTGCTGCCCTTAACACTTGATGGAAAACAAAACTTACATTGATTTCCGAGAATACTTTGTCATTCCGTCGTACTCATAGGTTTTCCATGGACTTCATAATGATTTTCATATCCAGAACCAAATGATGCTCAGCAGAAAGTAAGGGAGGCAACAAGGTAATTAGGTATTATCAACTGAGTTGATAACCTAAATTAGCCACCATACTGAGGCTAAAGTTTACGAATCGAGCGTTAGCCCGTAGTTACTCGCTCCGACCATGGGCGAACGCTCTAAACGTCAGCTTTAAAACTCTTTACGGATTCCAATCTACGTTATTAACTCAGTTGCTAAAACTAAATTACCCTGTGATACTCTCCCATCCTCGCAGCACCAAAACTTTAGAAACGTCCCGCCTCTAATAAAAGGAAGTTGGGTTTCTTCTTCATAGAACACCTTATGCATAAACCTTTTGACTTATTTGGAAAATACCCACAGGATAAAAAAAAAAAGATAAGAAAGATGGTTAGATTTCGAGCCCGCTAAAGAAATAAAGGAAGAAATCTGACCTCAAATCTTCGGACTCCGCCCCAATGCTCTACAGCTAAGCCACGGAGACTGTGGTGGGCAAGGCCCACTCCGAAGTTCATGCATAATACGCGTCCTGCAAACTGCTAAAATCAGCAATGTCGTTAACGTCATGTTTTGTTAATAGAAAAAGAAAGATGGTAAGATTTTGGGCTCGGTAAAGGAATAAAGAAAGATGTTTTTCATCTTGTCTCGGGCGTGGGACGAAGAAAAAGTCTGAGCCCTCACGAGGAATCGAACCTCAGACCTCCGGATCCGTGTTCCGATGCTCTACTACTTAGCCACAGAGACTCTGTATGATTATAGACTTCTATACTATATTAAAGTTCATATATCGGACACCCGTCCTGCATACTGCTACTATCAGGGTAACAAAGGTCAACAAATAGCGTAACAACAGGGTAATTGTTTTCATCAAGAGAAAGTAATGGTCCCATTATTTCTTTTGCTTTTATTTTTAAATTCAAGTTTTACAGGAAAAGAAGTGGCCAATATTCGTGGGTCATGTGTAACGAGTAAATTGTCGCGACAAATTTTCGCGAGTAAGTTCTCACGTGTGACAAAAAACCCTTGAAAAAGGGTCGTTCAGTTAGAAAAAAGCCGTGAGTAAAGGACATTGTCGTAATAAAATCTGCTATTAATTTTAAACCTTGAAATTCAAAAAAGGGATGGGGGAGAGAGGAGTTAGCTGGGAAGAGCTGAGAAGAAGGCAAAGGGCAAACATCATTGAAGGCCTCTGGCCACGGTGAGGATGGACTGAATTATGGTAAAAAGTAATATAGATAGCAACACAAAATTAACACCAGCACATTTCTTTCTTTAAAACTTAAAGAGTAATAATTCGACAAAAACTTTTTCGCGAACTGAAGGACGAAAGGTCTTGAATCCAAACTGTCCTCAACGAAAATAATGGGTTGGGCGGTGCACGATTTTTCATTCACTTTCCGTCATTTAATATTCTTTATTATCCAGATTAATAACTCAAACATTTAAAAAATAAACGAATGACATTGTAGTACAACGTCTATCACATATCAATTTCAGGTAGTGCACGGTTGTCGTTCCCCGCTTCGCATATGTTGTGATCAAATCGTTTTCTTTGTTTTCAGATATGGTAGCGGATCACAGAGCAGTTTCGATAGCCCGTCTACAATATTGGAGATCATTACGCCACATAAATTTAAAACTGCCTTTTTTCGGTTTGAATGTTTTTTTAAGGGCTTCGAGCACATTTTCCACGAAAAATGTCGATCGCAGTTATTAATGTAACTTCAGAAACTGACCAATTTCTGAATAATTGAACAGGATTTCATGTTTATTATTACCAAAGTTAGTAACAAAATAATTGTACGTCGAACATTCAGACGCGATAAATCTTGCGATGTGTTTATCTTTTTTGCGCGGGATGCATTTTTTCATCTTTCACATTTTGAAAGTATTTGGATCAAAACGTCCAATAGAACTTGAAGGTTTAAGTTTCTGTTATCCTAAGATATGGAATGATATTCCCTAAGAGACCTTATTCCTTTTTTATTGAGCACAGCGGAAAACAACTATTTGTGTCATTTGCGCTAATTTCCACATAGAACTGACAGCTGCTGAGAGCTTTGTTTGATGTATTTTCATGATATGCTTTCCTTCATAACAATAGGTCGGTTTGGGCTGCTTAGTCCACTGCTGGGAGCTGGTGATCGACTTAAAACTTTTAAGCACACGTGCGGGGTAGAAATAGAAGACCGTAATCTTGAATTGATTTATTCATTTATGAGTGCAATCTTATTTCATATATCACTTTCATTCTCTTCGCTGACACAGAACGAATAAAAGTTACAAATAAATTAAGTAAGGTAAACAGCCACGTTCAACCTCCACCCATGACTGACACTCATTTTTGTAAAATTAAAGGGTATCTAACGAAGATTTTTAAGTGCATCCTACTCAGAAAGTTGCAAAGATGCAAAACACAAACAAACTCTCTTCTCTCAATAACATGCACGTATTACACTGTTAAATTAACTTCCATTGTAGTTTAGCAAACGGAATTTGATGTCTTTTCATCGAAAGGAGGTAGATTTTTACCGCTCTCAACCATCTCAGATAATTTTGTTTTACCTTAGAACATTGCTGGAACATGAAAGAGTATTTTATAAGTTCTAAAGAAAGTTATTGACGCAAAATTCTTTAAGGACTAGTTTAAAATACTCTCTTCCAAAATTTCACCAAAAACTTAAAGAACCAGTATGGTTGGATTATTGGTAAAATTTGCATAAATGTTGCGTACAACTTGTAAAGTTTCTCTAGTTTGAAAATTTATGGCGTTGCAACGTTCGCTCGTTTGCCATTTATCAATAATAACTTTGATTGAGAAAGATCCTTCTTAATCTTTTTCGTCGAATTTAAATGCTAAGATCAAAACTTTTTACAGAGGAAGAAATAGTTTTTGCTGTGTTATTTTTGGAAAGAACCTCATTTGTACTCACAAAGGCTGGGTGTACATAACAGGTGGCATCTGTAAACAATTAAAAAAAGAAATGATAACTTGACTACTCTTCATCTGAGATGTATAACGTTCAACTTTCACATTTACTGATCTTCCGGGAAGGGTCGATTTATCACGTTTATACTGAATTTATCAGTAAAAACATTTTTAATCTGCTGCGTGATGTCATTAAACAATGGTACGCCTCATTGCGTATTAGCATAAATTACCTAGACTCGAGGGAAAACAAAACTAACTGCTTCCCTCGGGAACATACATTTAGTGTAGCAATTGCAATTTTTTTTTGTAACTTCTCCACTATGAACTTTAATGATCAGTTTGCTTCCCTTAACATTTGTTTGAAAAAAAAAATTACATTCCTTCCGCGAATCCTTTGTCATTCGCGTCAAGTACCTGCAGTTTTTAAATGGACGTTATAATTATTTATACATCCAGATGTAGACGCTACTCAGAGGGAAGTGATCGAAGTAGTTTGTTCGTTCATAAAAGGCCTTATGCAAAAACAGTTTTAGCAAATTATTTAGAAAATAATCCTTGATAAACTCCTTTTTTATATTTTCTTTTTTAAGATGGATGATTTGGTGCAAAGTGCGTTTACTTTTCTCAATCCAAGGTTGTTTGTTGAATTTACTTTTGTCAGTAAATGCATATGGTGTTTATATAATAAACAAAAAAATAGATGGTTCCCCGTAGATATGGAATTTCCTTTTTCGTGTTCAACACTCACGAGTGAGTGCAGTGAACGAGAAGAGAAATTATCTACGCGCTCCCATCCATTGTGCTTCATGATTAAACGCCAGGGTACATCTGGAAGACAATAATGGTTAAAGTGGGAATAGTGGTAATTAGACCTAATAAATTATTAAATTCCCCATTATCCCCATAAACATCCTTGTTAACCTTGAAGCTTATCCGCAATTAGAAGAATGCATATACCAAAGAAGGCCTAACTATCAGTGTGTTAAAGATCTTGGAACTTCGAGAACATGTGAGGACATGTAAATCAAGCATCACTAACGTAAGAAATTACCTAAAGCTTGATCATGAAACTCAAACCACTTTCTTACTTAGATATAAAAGTAAATATGTTCATAACTAAACTCAGGGTCAGGAAACAAAGCAAAGAATACTTGGAGAATCTCGCACAATCATCGATCAAGCTTGAACTTGTCGGGGAAAAGGAATTTAACTTATTTCTGATAAACGATCACCACCACGACCGTTGTGCATCATAGAATTGATAAATAATATCGGAAAATAATGATTCGAAGTTTTCTTTTGATATTAGTTAACTTATCATTATTTTAACGAAACTTGGCTGAGATTAGGAATGCCCCACTTTATTTCATAATCCCTCTCAAGAATTGGAAAGTAAAGAATCCAAAAAGAGCACTATTCACAGACGCAATTTTTGATCACAGACAATATCGAAAACAGGGAAAACAGGTTGTCATAGCCCTCTCAGATATGTTTACACCAAGAGAGGATGCGTCTGTTATAGACACGATATGCAAAAAGGCGGTCGTCAGATTCCAAGAGAATAAAGGGAGTTTTAAGTAGTTTAAGAACACCTGGTGGAGGGAGATATCCACACGCTAAATTTTTATAATATTGTGCTAAGGACTGATTTCGGTGTCTGATACGTATGTTAACATGTAAAGATAAATAATTATTCTTAAGAGACCCAATTCTCTTGATCGAGCGAAGCGGATAACATCCATTTGCGTCATTTGCTTTAATTTCCACATAGAACTGACAGCTGCAAGCTTTTTTCTTTAATTTATTTTCATAAAACGGTTGCGTTCACAAAAAAAGGTCGATTTTGGAAGTTTAATCCACTGACGAGGGCTGGTGATCAACTTAAACTTATGCCATGCATGCGGGGTAGAAACAGAAAACCGTTACCTCGAAGCAGGCACAGAATTTGTTTAATTTTTCATGATCGTAGCCTAGAATGCATTATTGAATTATAGAAAAGGTGAGTCGCAAACGGCGAAGAAAGTTTTATCCTTCGATTCACGGATGAGAGCAACCTTATTTATATTTCTCCTCCTTGCTGATACAAAAAGAGTTTAGGTAACAGCAAAGACTAAGTCAAAAACCGACAAGATGGCTTGTCTTAATGAAAATTAGCATAAATTTCCTCTTTTTATGATCATCGGTCTAAATAACCAAAGACGATCATGTAAACTATGAATATGAAGCTTTGAATTTTCAAGGACCTGTATAATGAAGAAAGCGAAAAAAGGTTTATAGAGGAAAATGAATATCTTTTTCATGACTTAGCGATCATAAAAAAAAAAAGATCTGCGGATAGCTTTTATTAACGGCTTTTGCTGTCTTCCTTAAAATAATATAGTTCAGGAGAACAAAACACACGAAAATGCTTTCTAGAAACCTTGTGTCTTCAGAAAAGACAAGTGTTCATCGATGCTACCAAATTTTGTTCTCGTTTCATTGTTGTTTTTAACGTTTTTTGAGAGGAGGGGGGATGGCCTTATTATGCTAAAAATCAGGAATTTAAGACATAACAGCGGTAACAGCGACATAAAAAAAAACGAAATAAAACAATTAAAACATTAGTTGAACTTGTCTTTTCCCCAAGCATTTTATGTGTTAACCTTCTTTATCGAAATTGATGTCTCAGCTGAAATAATGAGGAAATCTCTGAGCACGGAATTGAAACATTTGAAAATTGTCCTAAATACCTATGTTCTCAGAAAGGCTAAGCCACCCTACGTGCCACACGGCATAATGGGCATGAATGAGTGAGTGAGTCAGATTGGCAAAAATCCGCAAATGATGGTAGTATTAATTTTTCTCCATGTTCCCGTATTCTCCTCAGTGGGCTGGTTAAGTTACATGAAACATATAAGTTTTCTTTTTTCTTCTTTTTTTTTTTTTTTTTCTATTATTTGTTTACAAGACAGCACGGTAAAAGTAAAGTTATAAGGAGAAAAAAACCATAGACACCGTTTCTTCATAAATTCCTGTTCTTAAGAAGACCGTAGAAAATGAAATGGAGGCAATGCATAATTCAAGGCACGAATAAAATTTAGTGAATTTTTTTCCGCCTTGATTTTCTACAAGCCTGCTACTTGATGTTGTTACATGATTTTAAGAACCTCAATGCTGCAATGTTTCCGTGATGGCTAAAAGGTTCCATGGATTCTGTTTTCGATTATAAAACGACGAATGTAATGCTATTTTTGCGTGGCTTTGAGGAGTTATCAATGAGTGGTTTTCCTTTAGCGGAAGTAGTATTGCTATGACAGTCAGTGTTTAACTTCCCGAACTGATTATTTCATGAATGCTTGATTAAAAACCAGGCAAATCATAATTTATCCTTTGATGAGTGTAAGATGCAAGGTTCAGGATGAAGACTTAAACATACACGATGCTTCGCAAAGGAAATCTTACAAGTTTCACCACAATATTCTGTATTTCTAAGATCTGCATTTCCTTGCTCGTTAATTCCATATTCTACATATGCACGTACTTACTTCGCTTCAAAGCGCCAATGAAACACTTTTAATGAAAGATGGATCGTAATCGCTGTAAAATAAGTCCACATGAACTTTATTCGAACAGTTTGGTCCATACATAACTGCAAAAATAGCACGATTTAATTTATCGCCTGCCTAAATAAAGTATTTTCAGTTTTGTTGAAAACGCGAATGAGACCAGTCGACAGTTAAATAACAATTATCTGATAACAACTCGTATGGTAAACAGGGCCTTAAGAGCGACGCTAAATGAGTTCCCTGAAAAATGCGGACGCTTTAGCTGAGGCAAACCCCATGTCCTGAAAGCTGTCACAATTCTTTGCTGTAACATTTTCTTGAATTAATGCACAGTTCTTCAGATATAAAACAAAAATGTAACGACTGCTTTAAGTTCTAAAGATTGTTTGAGAGTTTTCAATTTCAGAAAATAAACCATTCGTGTATTGAGACTACTAAAGTTGCAATTTAAACAACAGAGGCTTTAGGAATAGAAATGTGGATCGCACGATTTTTCCAACGTTTTTTTTCTTTAATTATAATGAAGTTCGAAATTACTGAGCTATTTTTCAGTGGCATATCACACCTACTGAGAACTTAAACAATTTTAAGCGTAATTTGAAAATTCGAGAACCTTCCACCGAAGAATTAGGCAACCTGGTAAAATATATGAGATATAATTTATTAATGAGGTCATTTGGTGTCTTATAGAAAGACATAAACAGCTTCTGGTATCTGCCTTTTCTGTCATCTTGAACAAAACATTTGCTATGTTAAATAAAGGGGAAAATGTATTGTTTATTCTGGTAAAGTGCGCCTAAACTATGTCCTAAAACTACTACAGAATGCGTGAAGCCGGCTAAATGTTTCATCCTGCACAAACTTAATTGTCGAGATGATTTTACCATGCGGACGGAAAACGTGCTTTTTGTCTAACTTGTGGTGAAGAACCCCTAGGAAGAAGAGCGAACGATTTTACATGAATAGGAACTTTTAAAATAATTTCGAGTCGTTTTTTACGTGTTGATTTAACGTTGCATGAGACAAGACAGTGGACAATTCAATAAACTACGAGTAATATTAAAAGAACGGAAGCAAATTTCGAGAAACTGTATATGACGAAAAAAAAAATAGTCATTTTGCGGCGCCTATAATTTATTTGAACTACACTGTCGACGACTTATTAAAAACTGTCTAGGTAAAAATATTTAGCGATTAATTCTAAGTATTCGGCATATCAAGGAAAAATTTATATCGCATCATGTTTAATCTGTTTGTCCTTACTGTCAACTTGAATTTGTATTGTAGCTCTGAAGCCCTTGAGATTCGAGCAAATCATTTGTATTGCATGTGCTTAACGTCCGTGAGTTATGCTCACTGTGGCTTTCGCGCAAAAATAGAGCCGTGCAAACTTTGATAGAGAAATTCCAACACGAATCGTCAGCATTTGCCGAAAGACTTTCTCGAGGCCAGAGCAAGTTGCTTTTCAAACTAAAATTACACGACAGGTTGATTAAAGTCCATTCCTAATTAGAGAACTAACTTTCAAAACCACAAACAAGTGCAACATTTATTAAGGCAAAAAGAAAAAAAAATACAGGTTTCCCTGCCCGTTAAAATCTACCCAGTCCCTACTTATTTTAGAGAAGTTCCATACACTGTAAGTGGGACCCTTTTGATTGATGCAAACATAGGAGTGTTATTGTATGTTTAGAGCTTTTGTGAATAGCTTATGCAACAGAAAGCTTAACGTTTCGCGAGGCTGGCAATATTTCCTTGTCCAAGACATCCTTTCCGTATTAGTTTTCATTAGCGATCCTTTATTATCACACGGTGGAGTTTCCATAGTTAAACACCAGATCATTTGAGAACTTGAAGGAAATCTTCTTAAACATCGTTTAAAAGCTAATTTAGACCGAATATGATGTTTCATAATGATAATTTGTCAACGTTACCAGCTGAAAATTACGCTTATTGCAAAATTTATAAGTATAGTATATCAAAAGTATATAAGTATATCAAAAGAAAAAGACTGGCTTCACTCTCAAACAAGGTTATGGTGCGATTTTGAAAGCAAACTAACTCAAGGTCTTTTAAACAAAGACAGATTATCACTACCCGGGGTTTACTAGCTGAGCCTTTAAATGTTTATCTCTATGCAACACGAAAGCTCTGGTAAACAATATGTTGCTCTGTTTACCACAAAAAATTACCAAAAGCTCGCTGAAGTTTCAACTCCGTCCAAAATGTTTGATGTATTAGAAAGGATTATTCATCGGATATAGTTTGGAAACTTTATGTTTGAATCTTTCTTGCCCTTTTGGTTATTGGACTTAGTAGATAAATAAAGTGTTTCAACAATCATCAGGATTTTTGTTTTATATAAGATGAGGATAAGCAGAAGCTTTGTAAATGTTAATTAGCCAACTTTTCAAAGATCGTATTTTTTTCTCGCTCAATAAGAATATATTATTTCTTCTGAAGTTTTTTGTCGAGGTCGAGCCGTTGTCACTTCATATCTAAAACCAACATTTCTGAATGGACATTCGTTTTTCTATGGGCAGTTTAAGAACACATAGTGGAGGTAGATATCCGCGCTAAAAAGAGCTTTGTATTACGATTGATTATCAACTCTTTCAGACAATTTTAGGAGCGAAGTTTGATGAAAATAACACGTCTGTGTATTTTAACTCCAAACACTGACAAATGACAGCGGACTTAAACGGGAACATGACTTTTCTTTCGATTAAATGTCTATTATTAGCAAACTTGCCATACGACAAATATTAAAAGCGTGATAAGTTTTCCAAGGTGTTTATCTTTCGATAGGAATGAATAAAATTTCATCTGTCAAATTTAATTAAAAAGTCCAAGAGAATTTTAAGTCTAAATATCTGCTTTTCCTGGGGGGTTTTTGCCGTCAATTAGACGTTCTAAAGAAATAGATCGAAATTTTTACAATGTTGTTCTAAGGACTAATTTCAATGTCTAATAAGTATGTTAACTTGTAAAGATATTCCTGTGAGACCCACTTCTCTCCATCGAGGGAAGCGGGTAACATCTATCTGCGACATTTCTATTACTTTCCACATAGACTTGATAGCCCCAAGAATTTGAATTGTTTTTTATGTTTTGATTGACTTTCATAGTATGGTTTCTTTGATAAAAACAGGTCAATTTTGGAAGCTTAATCCACTGCTAGGAGCTTGTGATCAACTTAAAACTTGCGCCATACGCGTGGGGTAGAAACAGAAAACCGTTACCTTGAAGCAGGCATGGAGTTTGTTTCATTTTTCATGTTCATAGCCTGGAATGCATTATTGACTAACTTGACTTTTGGAAAAGGTGAGTCGCAGACGGCGAATAATTTTTTATCCTTCGATTCACTTATGAGTACAACCTTATTTATATGTCTCCTTTATTTCTTTTGCTGATACAAAAAGAGTTAAAGTTACAACAACTAGCAAAGATTAAGTCAAAAATCCACATTCAGCATCCAGCCATGATTTGAACTCATATTTAAAAAATTAAAGAGTATTTAATAAAATTTTTAATTGTTTCTTATTCAGAAAATTGTATATTAGATGCAACGAAAAAAAAACGTCGGTAAATTCGAGAGACTTCATTGAAAATGGTTACATTCCCATCTCTCCTCTCTCAATAACATTTAAGCATGACACTATGTTATGTTCAATTTCCCTGTGTTGTATTAGGCGGGAATTTGATCTCTCTGCATCGTACGGAAGCACATTTTTATCGCACTTAACCATCTCAGAGAAATTATTTTTACAAGAGAACAGTGCTGACATATGGTAAAGAATAGTTACATTGTTTTGTTGCATATTCGTCCATAAACATAGCTTATCTATTAAAAGTTAAAATTTGGTATTGCGCAAGTCTCAGAGAAAGTTATTAGCACAAACATGTTGAATGATTAGTTTTAAGGTACTCACCTCAGTAGCAGGCGACATCTGTCGACCGTAAAATTGCCGATTATTTCGATATTTCTGGTTTGGGAAATATAGTGTTTGACTTTTTAAAGTTTACTATTTCTTGAAAAAGTCGAATTTTCTAATGTATACTGAATTTATTGATAGAAATATCTTGAACCCATATATGAATCTTCTGCGTGATGCCAGACGAAGATGGCTTTGTCTCAATTGAAATTAGTATAAATTTTCTCTTTCTATGATAATCGGTCTAAATAACCAAAGGCGATCGTGTAAACTCAAGTAAGAAAAATCGGAATTCTCAAGGACCTGTAAAATGAAGAAAGAAAAAAAGGTTTATTAAGAAAAATGAATTTTTTTTATGACTTATCGATCATGAAATAGAAAAGGAACTTGAGAAAAAATTTGCGTATGGCTTTTATTAATGGCTTTTGTTTTATCTCCCTAAAACAATATCGCTCAGGAGAAACAAAACACACGAAAATGCTCTCTAACCTTGTGCCTTCACAAAAGGCAAGTGATACTCGATGCTGCCAATTTTGTTCTTGTTTTTTTTTTCCGTTTTTGGGAGGGAGATGGCTAGAGCTATTTATCTAGGACCCGTATTACACATAAAGTTAGGAATTTAAAATATAACAGCGGTAACAACGACATCAACAAAACAATTAAAAACTTTACTCAAATTTGTCTTTTCCCAGGCATTTTATGTGTTAACCTCCTTTATCTCAGCTGAAATCAGGAGGAAATCTCTGAGCACGGAATTGAGACATGGAAAATTATCCTAAATACCTATCTTCTCAGATAGGCAAAAATCCGCAAATGAAGGCAGTGTTAATTTTTCTCCATTTTCCCGTAATCTCCTCGGTGGGCCGTTAAGTTACGCGGAACCTGCAATTTCTCTTTTTTTCATTTATTTTGTTACAAGACAGCACACCAAAAGTAGAGTTATAAGGAAAAAAAGGATCTAGCAACCGTTTCCTTATAGACTCCTGTCCTTAAGAAGATCGTAGAAAATGAAATAGAGGCAACTTATAATTCAAGGTACGAATAAAATTTATTGGATGTCTTACCACCTTGAAGCTATACGAGCCTGCTGCTTAATGTTCCTATATGATTTTAAAACCTAAATGCTGTAATGTTCCCGTGATGGCTAAAAGATTCCAAGGATTCTGTTGTCGATTATAAAACGACGATGTAATGCCAGTTTCTGAGTGGCCTTGAGTTGTTTTCCTTCAACGGAAGCAGTATTGCATGGTAGTCAGCGTTTAACTTCCCGAACTGATTATTTCATGAATGCTTAAGTTCCTGAAAATGCAAGCCTCTTAACTTAGGCAAAACCCATGTCTTGAAAGCTGTCTTTGAAACAATTTCACTATTCTTTACTGGAACGTTTTCTTAAATTTATGTACAGTTCTTCGCCTCAGATACAAAACAAATATGTAACGACTGTTGAAAAATGTTCGTCCGTGCATAAGTTCTAAAGATTGTTTGAGAGTTTTCAATTTCAGAAATTGAACCATTCGTGCATCGAGACTAATACAATTGCAAATTTAAACAATAGAGACTTGAGGACTAGAAATGTGTATCACACAATTTTTCTAACGTTTTATTTCTTTAATTAAATTGAAGTTCAAAATTATTGAGCTATTTTTCCTTGGCATATCACACCTTATGAGAACTTAAACAATTATAAGCGTAACTTGAAAATTCGAGCAACTTCCACCGAAGAACTAGGCAAGCTGGAAAAATATATGGGATAATTTATTAAAGACGTCATTTTGTGTCCCATAAAAGACATAAAAGCTTCTGTTATCTGCCTTGACATTTCTTGAGGCTGGCAATAATTCCTTGTCAAAGACATTCTTTTCTTATTAGTTTTCATTAGCGATCCTTTATTAGCACACGGTGGAGTTTCCTTAGGTACACACTGGATTATTTGAGAACTTGAAGGAAATCTTCTTAAACAAAGTTTAAAAGTTACTTTAGACCGAATATGATGTTTCATAATGATAACTTGTCAACGTTATCAGCTGAAAATTACGCTTATTGCAAAATTTGAGATCGTGATGATAATTGCGTAATTGTTGCCATGGTTTAGTGGCGTTGTAGAGGGAACAAGGAAGTTCTTATGTAAAGTTAATAATCGTTTTGGCTTGAAACCAGGTGTTTCTATGGTAACCATAACTACCACATTGTTTTAAAGAAAGCACTTTTAACTCAAAAGCAGTAAGGGACCAAAGAGGTTTGCGCCTTGGGAGGTAAGAGTTGATCATATCGAAAATACAGATGGATAATTTGAGTAATACTTTTCCTGGAAAACTCATACAAAGAATATTTACCCGCGGCTCCTTTAATTATGTATATAAATAAGGGTATGGTACAATTTTGAAAGGAAATTGACCTAGGGTTTTTTTCAACGAAAGCAGATTATCAGTACTCGGAGTTTACTGACCCAATCTTTTAAATGTTTATTTCTATGTAACACGAAAGCTTTGGTAAACAATATGTTGATCTGTTTACCTCAAAATTACCGATGGGTCGCTAAAGTTTCAACCCCGTCCAAAATGCTGAATAAGTGAGAAAGAATTATTGATCGGATATAGTTTGGAAGCTTTATGGTTGAATCTTCCCAGCCTCTTTTGGTCATTAAACTTTGTAGATAAATAAAGGGTTTAAATGATCGTAGGGATTTTGGTTTCAAAAAAAAGAGGATAATCAGCAGCTTTTTTAAATGTAAATTAGCCAACAAATGAAAGATCGTATTTTTTCTCGCTTAATAAGAATATATCATCTCTTCTGAAGTTCCTGTCGAGGTCGAGTCGTCATCACTTCACATCTACAACCGAAATTTCTCAATGATTACTTTTAATCCTTGTACATTTGTTCTTCTATGGGCAGTTTAAGAACATCTAATAGAGGGAGATATCCGCGCGCTAGAAAGCTTTGTATTAGGGTTGATTATTAATTCTCTCAGTTGATATAAGGAGCGAAGTTTGATGAGAATAACATGTCTGAGTATTTTTACTCCAAAAAATGACAAATTTAAGCGGACTTGAATCGGGTACGTGACTTTTCTGTTAATTAAATGTCTATTATTACAAAAGTTGCTATACGTCAAATATTAAAAATACAATATACAATGTATCTTTTAGTGGAAATGAATGAAAAATATGCAAGACAAATATGCTGAAAAATATGCTTGATCTTTTAAATTTTGAAAGTTTTTTTTTTATCAAAAAGTCTAAAAGAACTTAACGTCTCAGTATCTGCTTTTCCCGGGGCTTTTCGCCGTCAATTAGACCTTAAAGAAATTGATCAAAATTTTTACAACGTTGTTCTGGGGACTAATTTCGCTGTCTAATACGTATGTTAACATTGAAAGATATTCCTTAGAGATCAATTCTCTCCATCGAGCGAAGCGGATAACACCCTATTACGTCATTTGCATTAATGTCCACTTAGAACTAACAGCTACAGGCCTTTTTAAAAATTTGTTTTTATAATACGGTTTCGTCCATAACGACGGGTCGACTTGAAAGCTTAATCCAGTGCTGGGAGATGGCTATTAACTTAAAACTTGTGCCATACGCGCGTGATAGAAACAGAAAACCGTTACCTTGAAGAAGGCATAGAATTTGTTTCATTTTTCATGTTCATAACTTGGAATGTATTATTGACCAACTTGACTTTTGGAAAAGGTGAGTCGCAGACGGAGAATCATTCTTTATCCTTCAATTCACTTATGAGCACAACCTTATTTATATATCTCCTTTATTCTCTTTTACTGATGCAAAAAAAGTTAAAGTTACAACAATTAGCAAAGACTAAGTCAAAACCGACATTCAACATCCACCCATGATTGGAACTCGTTTTTGAAAAATTAAAATTAAACAAAATGTTTTATCGTTTCTTATTCAGAAAGATTAGATGCAAAACGACAAAAACGACAAAAACTTTGCAAATACAAATTACTTCATTTTACAATGAATGTACAACATTGTACAGAACAGTGCTGACATATGGTAAAGAATAGCTACATTGTTTTGTTGGATATTCGTCCATGAACGTAGCTTATCTATCAAAAGTTAAAATCGGGTACTGTGCATGTGTCAGAGAAAGTTATTAGCAATAATAAATTTAAGGATTAGTTTAAAGGTTCTCACCTCAAAAACAGGTGGCATGGCTACCGTTAAATTGTAGGTACTTTCGATATTTCTGTTTGAGAAATAGAGTGCTTGACTTTTTTCATTTGAATCCGAATTTCCCAATGTATATATCGATAGAAACATCTTGAACCCGTATATGAATCTCCTGCGTGATGCCCGATAACAATGTCTTAATGGAAATTAGCATAATTTTCCTCTTAATCGGTCTAAATAACCAATGGCGATCGTTTAAACTCGTGTAAGAAACTCTGAATTTTCAATAACCTTTACAATGAAGAAAGCAAAAGAAGGTTTATATCGATCATGAATTAGAGAAGGAACTTGAGAAAAATTTGGGGATAGCTTTTAGTAACGGCTTTTGTTCTATCTCCGCTAAATGATATCGTTCAGGGGAAACAAGAAGACACGAAATGTTTTATAAACATCCTTACTTCACAAGTGGTGATCGTCGGCTGCTGCTCATTTTTGTTTTCGTTTTACTGTTGTTTTAAACTTTGGGAGGGAGGGAGAGCTGGGGTTAATTATCTTGTGCCCTATTATACAAAATATTCATAGTTATGATAAATTACAGCAACAGTAAAAGATTGACGGATCGCTTTTTCTTACGGATTTTGTCCCCTAAAATAATATCGCTCCGGAAAAAGAGAGACTGAACCTTCTCTCTAAAAGCCTTGTGTCTTCACAAAAGACAAGTGATGGTCGCTACTACCAATTTTTCTTTTCGTTTCACTTTTGTTTTGAAAGTTTTTTTCAGTGGGGAAGGGGCTGGGTGTAATTATCTAATGCCCCAAAAACTTTACTCAAATTTGTCTTTTCCGCAAGAATTTTATGTGTTATCCTACTTTATCGAAATAGAAGTCTCCGCTGAAATCATGAGGAAATCTCTGATCGCGGAATTGAGACATGGAAAATTGTCCTAGATACTTATGTTCTCAGAAAGACAAAAGTCTGCAAATGAAGGTAGTATCAAATTTTCCCCGTTTTCCGTAGTAATGGTTTAATTGAGATCACAGTTCTTTGTTCATCGAGCGTGTTATTTTGCACGCGTAATAACTGGAATCGTGAGTTTATTTCTCTATGATAAGAAAAAATTGTTTTCTAATTATATTTTAATTGCTTTTATTTCAGAGCGGGATCGCACAATGCTGTTTCAGATTACTTCTTCTTTGCTGAAAAACGTTTGAAAAACCATGAAATCGAAACCAAATATGTCAGAGACTTGGATCAATGTGAGCTTTTCTGCTACATGAACGACAACTGCGTCAGTGCTAACTTCAAAAAAGAGCCAGATACAAGAGTAATGGCTCATGTTTGTGAACTGAATAACGCCACTCATCTTGACCATGATACTGACCTGATAACTGATGCTGATTTTTTATTATCGAGGCTCAAAGGTAAAATATAAAGCATACCTCAAATTCAGCAACTCGGTGATGAATCATGGAGAACAAACGACGTTCAACAAAACTTAAGTTCATTCATTCATGTATCAATCATTCAATACATTGATCTTCTTTATTTTTTTTTTTTTTTTTTTTCTTTTCAGAACGCGTGCGGTAAAAACCCACCTTGTCAAAATAATGCAACTTGTCAGTCCGGTTTCACAAACAAGGGATATCGATGCTCGTGCCCCCCTGGATTCGAAGGAGAACATTGCGAAAAAGGTTAATTACAGAATAGACCGATAAGAACAAAATATTTCCTGGAGTATTTAAACCCCCATATTTATATATCACGTTTGGTCGTCGAGTGCGTATCTTAACGGAAGACTACCAAGGCTGATCTTTGACGACTGATATCCGGCTACAATTTGAAATGGTGTCTAAAGAGAGATTCCGCTGCAGTGAAAGTTTTGGGTCAGACTAAATTAAAAATTAATTTGACACAATGATAACAGACTAAATGCTTTTTGACCGCATAAGAGTTTTAAAAAGCGAATGTATATCTCACTCGTGTAACTACTACCGTTCTAGAATTTTTCTTTTCTTTACAATATTTTAGATATTGATGAATGCCAAAAAATACTCACGATTGTCACCTGAACGCTACTTGTCAAAACACAAATGGATCCTTTGTGTGCACCTGTTTATTTGGATTTAACGGAGATGGACGGAACTGCACAGGTAAAGGCCTTTAGATTGTACGTAATTGTCTCGTTATGACTTTGAGAAATGTTAATTTGCTTGTAGTTGTTTGTTTAATTTGTACGTTCAGTCTTGGTTGATTTGTTTGTTTGTTTTGATAAAGCAGTTACCCTTGCCTGAACATTTTTGACCAATGGCAGAAAATGAAAATCCTCAATCACAATTAAACGCAAGGGAACAAAATGCTGAACATCTTCGTTGACCAGCTTTCTCTTTAATAAAACATAGCGACCAACAACTCTCTAACGACAACTATCGCACTCAATGTTCAAAATAAGGTTTATACAAGAATCATACTCCAAGAATCGTGATTGAAAGCCTTTCATTTCTCAGATATTGACGAATGTGCAAGAAATCTTCCTTGTCATGTGAATGCTAACTGTACCAACACCATTGGATCACATGTATGTACATGCCACACTGGATACACGGGAGATGGAAAATCTTGCTGGGGTAATTTTAAAATTTTCCTTCAATCCCAGCTATTTAAAGCGGAGAGTAATCTCAAACGTCTTTTTAACTCAAATTATGGCGTCAGAAGTAGTCAAACATTTATCCTAAAATGTAGTTCTACTCCATAATTCACCTCTCACTAGAAATGGTGGATTATTTCACTTTGTCCCACATCTTTTAAGATTAGGTTTGCAGTATTCATGTACAGGTGTTCATTAGATATTGATCAACCAAACATTTTTCAACATAACATCCAATTCTGGTTTGTTACTTGGTGCACTTGATCCTCATCAGACATCGACGAGTGTTCAAACACAAACATCTGCAATAAGAACGCCTTTTTGCAGTAATACCCAGGGCTCCTACAGTTGCGCCTGTAATCCTAAATACACTGGGGATGGTTTGACTTGTAAAGGTTAGTCTCTTGTAATTGATCCTTTAAAAAATTTGTAAAGACGGTACTGGCTGAACTCGCTGTAAATAATCTTGAGTGAAATGCTATTCTTGTTTAACCATATAACAAATCACGTTAGTTCTTAGTGCCTTTAAATTGCTTGGAAACGTCCTTCGACAAACAAATAGGGAAAAAGAAAGATACATTTGATTTTTTTAATAGACTTAATGTGCATGGTTTTTGTCCTCCAGGGGAGAAAACAATGATCCCCATCATTTATTCTTGATGACGCATAACTGTTTTTGTAATTAGAATTATTATGAGGCTGTGTCTCGAATAGATTAAAAGCGATCTACCAAAATAATCTGATTGGCTAAAATCGATGTTGACAGCGGTTAAGATTTTCCCATTTTAGCCTATTAAGGTGATTCCTAAGAACATAAATATTATCTGACGGTTTTTTTCAATCTTTTCTTTAATGTTCCCTATCAATGTCTGTTTCGGAAGATACAATAAAAAAGACAGGTCACCGTTCTTGTTCGGTAGCTGGAAGCAAAGATTTTCAAAGTAAAAATTAAAAAAAAAACCTTGAAAGGCACAAAGTCTTGAACGTAGGGAACAATTTGATATATAATTTGTGAAAAATCAAGTAAGTTTAATCGACATCGAATTAAAACGTTCCTCGAGTCGTTGCTCCCAATGTCATAATTTTCATTATCAAGATGATCTTTAAATTTCTCCAATTTAACGGGGCTAACTTGTACACCAAAATTATGCTATGAAAAAAGAGGTCACCGTGCTTGGTAAAGAACTAAAGAGCATCGTACCTCTTTACAGGGTCCATTGATTGAAAAGCAATATCGTGCTCTCGGAATTCACGCGCGCTTATTCGCCTGATTACGTGATTTTTTTACGCAGTACAGGATGCCCAGTGCAATACTAAGGAATCTCCTTTAGACTGAGAGCAAGATTCAATTTGTTAGATCATTTCAATAGTAATTAATGGAAAAATAAATACCAAAAATTAGGATGCAGGCAAAGAGAATACGGCTAAGCTACGAGCAAAGTATGAGGTCGAAATTGAAGACTTTTGCAGGCAGAAATCCAAAAACGCTTAATGCGAGACTAGGAGTGACTTAAATGGAAAGAAAAAAAATTTTTCAGTCGCTGGAAAAGGTTCGAGCAAAACTGCAATAATCAGCAAAACTCAACAAGACACGAACCAACTTCTAAGTCATGTTTTTGGGCTGCCAAATCGAGCAAGGTTTCGTCAATTCAAAAATCGATAAATTACAGTGACACTCATTTTCAACTTAATCAAACTTCTCCTCTTTAAGTTCTTTCCTTAAGGAGTCGTATATTTCAAAAACTTTTCGGTATTTTCTGTCAAATTTACGAGAATTCAAAGTTGAAATAGTTCCATTCACACTGAGCTGGCACTTGCCAAAAGTTTCAGCTTGCCTTTTTATTACGCAAATTTGGATTGGTGTATGTGTTGTCAGATGCCCGATGTATTGAGAAAATGGATATCAGTCAAGCTGTAAATAAACAGCATTTACCTTCTTCTGCAATTTTATTGGAGAAATATGCCTAAAATATATAGGGTATTTTTTTGTGAAAAAGTTTTCTGTGTCGTAGTAGAATTGTAATGTAGTAAACAGTTTTCTTCAAACTAAGCAGATACGCCTGAACAACTTCGTTGGGAGCCGATTACTGCTTAAGCAACAGAGAACCTTTTTTTGGTGTTTACATTCTCTCATTTAAACACTCGGAGGGTTGGGAAATTTCTTGAAAGCTATGCAAACCCTCGACTGCGTGTCGGGTTTGCATAATCTTCTCAAATTCTCCCAACCTCCTCTCGTGTTTAGATGAGAGTATGTAAACACGGTAAAAAGGTTCTCTTTTGCTTGAGCAGTAATCGGCTTTTTAACGAAGTTGTCCAGGCATATCTGCTCAGATCGAAGAAAACTATTTACTGCAGTACAATTCCACTACGACATAGAAAACACATAACCTGACACAGCTGAATGGCGATATCAAACACATGTAAAAAATTATCGCAATATTATAGGCGTGCTGTTACGCCTTTTTACAGGGCGGGAAATCCTTCTTAAAAACCGCAGCTTATGTAATTTTTTTTTTTTTCCTTCAGCTTTTTATAAAGAAAAATATACAAAATATCACATTAACCGAAATTCAACTTTTTAGCCGATCCGTGCTATAATTACAGAAACCTGAGTGATGCTGACAGAAAGAGCACTTACAACACACCCTACGGTGGAGAAAAATGTGACGACGAGTCCTCATCCTTAATATTCTGGAAATGGTATCGTTTCGTAGGAGATGCAGGAACAAAAATGCCAACCCAATGCGTACCGGATAATAGATGTGGTGCGGTCTTCTCAGGCTGGCTAAAGGTGGTCACCCCACACTGGCAGATGATGAGGTTTCTTCAGAGGTCTGTTTTACCAGAGGTGGAGATTGTTGCAAGAAGTCAAACAACATTAAAGTGAAAGACTGCGGATCCTACTTTATTTACGAACTACTAGAGGTACCCATTTGTAAAGGGCGCTACTGTGGCACAGACTAAATGTTATAAGCAAGTTATTCTGCACAGTGAAAGTATTCACAAATCGATTCATTGACACGCACATGTACATCAATGATAGCAGGGACTTAAAGAATATCATGTGATCCACTTTTTATGATCAGTGTTAAACAGTGAGTAGTTTGAACACAAGAGTACCTTTGGACCGCTTAGTTTGATCCTCCAAGTAAGAGTGCTCCTGAGTAGTTGTGACTGAAGGTAGTCAGTAATAGTGACTGACGTTTCTATAACCTTAGCGGAAATCATCATCAGAGTCGACTGACCAATAGTTGTTTATCCGGGTATAAGAACAGACTCTCCCCCCCCTTCCCGTCCCCCCAGCTAATGTCAACAACTATGGGCATATTAGTAAGCTTCTAAATAATCATAATATCTCTATCTGTTCCGATCGAGGTAATTCACTATGCAAGTTTTAAGCACTCTTGATGTTTACTCAGGTCGTTGGAAACTAAAAGCAGCTTAGGCGTCTTGTTGATAGAGACTGTAAATAATTTCTAGAATTGCATAATTGTTATTCATTGTTACATTAATACTCAAACTTTCTGATGACATAGTATGGAAAACTAGAACATTCTATTATGCTATGTAATTATGATGTATTTCTATCACAACAGTTGTGTTGTAAACTTCGAATTCCGGAACGTTTTGAAGTACTGACTGTAAATATATGAAAATCATGTATGTGCACTGCGGTGAAGAAACGAATATAAGAGATCCTCGTAGTCATGGACACTACTGAACTAGTAGTTGAAATAAGACCTGAAAAAATTTAAGGCCCGTACGGGATTTGAACCCATGACCTCTGCGATACCGATGCAGCGCTCTACCAACTGAGCCAACAAGCCAACTGGGAGCTGATGATTATGTTGGAGTAGTATCTTTTTTTTTTGTCGGAAAAGATCAACTATCTAGGAAGCTTTACCAAAAGATAGCTCCGTACTGCGATATACTTCAAAGATTGTGTATTTTGAGAAGATTTGAAGGCGAGAGTGAGTCTTTGGTGTCGGTAGAGAGCAAAGTTATAGTTTATAGTGGCTTTAAGTAAGTTTTTAAATGACAATTATTGTATTGCCTATAGGAGTAGGTCATGAGAAGGAATTATTACAATTTGTTTAATAAAAGTAGTTTAAAATTGTAGGAGTATAGTATTCGTTATTTTGATTAAATTATACCTTAACAGGTGAATCTTGTAGGAAAACGTTTTGGGTGAAATGGCTGAAATCTAAATACTGTCTGCCAGAAGCTATTATACAAGCCATTCTAACGAAAACTAAACAACACCAGAAAGAGGCCCGAAATGACGACCAGTTAAAGCCTAATTTTAAAACCTTTTCAGGCTTATTTGTGTATGTGTAACCGCTAGCAGAGAAGGTGTAATCTGTTACTCTGGTTGCTTTAGTTATAACTGACAATGAGCCTAAGACAAATAGCACGTCTAAGTAATCAGAGGTTTGCATGTCTTTGATGCACTTTAGAAAATTTAAATTGACTTTCCTAAAGGCTAAACCTTCTTATCGCCTGCTATTCAAATTCTCTACATGTAATAAGTTTAAGATTACATGAGACAATGAATTATTACTTTCCAGATGTCAGTAAACAAAACCAATTACACTTTATATTTTTGTTGTTGTTAAGGGCACTGTCGTTAGTGTTGTTGAAGTGCAAAGTTCATCATATTCCTTTGGGTGAATAATCGATAATCTTCGGAAGGGTGCCCAATCCGTGTTATGAAGCATAGTGACGACAAAAGAAATAACATTGACGATGTATCACTAAATGATCCAGTGTTCTGTGTCACACAACTCTCCGCGGGATGGTACCGTTTCGTGACAGCTGTAGGAACTAGAACTCCAACAACTTGCGTTGATAGTTATAAATGTGGTAAAACCAACCCAGGCTGGTTAATCCTTCAACTCCCGGAGACGATTAACCTGTTACTTCTCCCAACAAAATCCATTCACACTCTAAGCTTAGGAAACTTATCAGGAAGAAGTTGTTTACCTGATCTAACATCAAACCATCTAAACTTATTTATAAGGAAATGTGAAGCACTTTAAAGGGAGAATCAACAATCAGATCTTAGAGGTTAAAGGGTTAACTTGTGCTACTCCTGTAATGGAAGATGGGGAATTTGACAGGAAGGTCTACTTTAAACATAAAATTAGAGGCTGTTGCTACTGATCAGTTCAGATTTAAGTAGAAAGTTCTGGACTCTACCATTTATACAAATTTTTTCACTCACCAACTTGTGATCTTCGCCACTATGATACAGACTGACGTTGAGAAAAATAACTCCACGTAAAAAGGATTTATGAACCGCTATCTAAGTAGACGCCTATCACAAATTTAAAAAATTTTATTTCTCATCATAAAACTACTTACATTATTTTAACTCTAATTGTAATAGTAAATTATTGACCCAGGCGAGATACCTGTCTGACTGAATGGTAACCATCCTATAAGTCCCAAGGATTGGTCCGCTATGGCACGATTAAAGTATTTTACCAGTGTTACTCAAAAGATTTCTGAAAAAATTATGACATCAGCTATAGATACAAAATTTGTTTGAACAAGCTGTGAACTGTGCTTGAATGGTCCAGACTAAATTTGAAGCAAATAACTGCACGTAATGAGAGGATTCATATATAAATGCGTGCAGGTAGATATGTATCCTCCCCTCAGTCCTTTCCTTATGAACATGACGCGTGAGAATTTATTAGGTAATCAGATCTTCTTTGAAAGTCAAATCTTTTTCCAGGGTCAAATTAGCAGTTCGAGCGCATGGGGCAAGTTAAGAACGAATTAGACGTAGAACATAGCAGCCCATTGAACATGGCACGTTACCTAATTTAAATAGCGCTTATTACAATATAAAAAGAAAAGTAACACAAATAATTAAATAATTTACCGGCGTAACTGTCTTGTTGCCTTATCTAGTATCATCTCGTGTCTCGGGAAGAGCCAAAATCATTTCACCTTGGGTGCTTGCGATCTTGGTTATCTGCTTGCAGATTCTCCTAGCTTCTAGAACCAAGGAATGTTTCTTTTAAAAGTAAATTATCAGCACTGACCATTATGAATTCGACAGCGACGTCTTCTACTTTTGTTTGTTTCCCTTTGTTTTGTTTTATTTAAGGTACGTCTATAAACGAGTCTATGTAGCCGTTGAGACATCTTTGCGAGAAGAACTGCACGTAAACATGAGATTGATAAACTTATATCACTCTCACTTCCACTGACTTCATCCCCCATAATCTTTCAGCTAAGGAAGATCTACGTGCATTTATAGCCCAAAATAATTAATGATAAAAATAAATTTCCGACTTAAGCATTTTGAGAGGCGCGCAATAAGAGTGAAAGGTTTGAACAAATCAAAAAGTTCGTATTTGATTAACACAATTATGGCTGAGTTTAGATGTTTACATAATTCAAGTTACCAAGGGCTCGTTTACACTTGAAATTTTAAGAGAGCCATTGATCTTCTCTTCTTTAGCCAGCGGTTACAACAAAGTTATGCTGCTGTGCTGCAGGGACTGCATTCCAAGCTGTCAAAAGTGAGCCAAACGTTTCATTCACACGTAGAAAGCTTTGAACAAAGTCAAGGAGACTTAACAGCTGACAAAGAGAACACATTTATTTCCTTCAAGTAACACGCGTGAATGAATAAAGACTGCTATTGATTCTATTACTAAAATAGATGCTGAAATAATAGTTCCTGAGGGAGTTTCTCTCTCTACGAGTAGTTAAGCAAAAGTTTAAAGTTCATAGCAGGCATGGACTTAATGTCTCATCCACATGAATTGAACTAACTAGTGAGATCACCAAATTAAGGATATCAAAAAGCCCTCTCAATCAAAAAAACAAAAATTCAGAGGGTTTAACTCAGACTGGCTTCTTATAGTAAAGATCGACGCTGGAATGTTGCTTATCTTTCAAATAGGCCATCACCCGATTATATCAAATTACTGGTATGCTAAGAATTCCCGATTGATTTTTCAAAGAAACAGAGATATGTGTCTTCATTGATGCACATTAGCAAAAGCGAACTAAAAAATATTGTATTCAATATCAAGTAAAATATGGGGTCGAAAATTCCCTAGACGCGTTAGAAATGGTTTTAACTTCAGATAATTCTCATTTCTAATGAAATGCACGATTCAGTGTGTTTTGCTCCAATTTTCCTAATCGTAAACTCTATACATACTGCTATAGTGTTGCAAGTAAATTGAATTTTCTAATCTAAAATTTCTAATCTAAAATTTCGCTCACTCATGAGTATGATTGAAGATCGAATTGGATGACACAAAGTCCCGTTACCGATTGATTATAACCATTACAATTTAAGAAGAAATTAAATACAAGTACATTTACTTGAGAAAATATTTTCGGTAGAGACACTGTTTTGTGGGTTAAGTGGTTTTGCTACGGTTATTACAATCAACTCTGTGATTGGGTGATTTGGAGGAGTGGACTTAATGTGATAAGCTGCCTTAACTGTCCGATTACAGGTGTCAAATTAACTGTCCGATAAAGTTGACTGTCCGATTACAACTCTACAGACTAATTAGTGCTAATATAAAGCAGCTAAAGGACAAAAATCACTTGAGGAAATTGTAATGGTTATGACTGGTCGTGGAGGAGAGAGGGGCGAAACTGTCATGTTTTGTTACTTATACAACTTTTAAGTTTCATCACTCCATTGCCTTTGCTTAGTCCCTAAAAAAGCAACTGGTTCTTTACCTGTCTAGATGCAAACCATAAATGGTGCTAATCAAATCCGATTCAATTTCCCAAAGATTTCTGTCGCAAGATGGAATTTACATCTTCTCTTGCTTTCCCTGGCAAACGGCTCATAAACCACTTGATACGAACCGTAGAGTCCCCTATGCAAGACTTCTGTTCAGCTCTATGCTACATGGGACTCAACTGCGTCAGCTATAACGAATTAGTGACCAGCAGATCTCCAGTAATCACAAAATGTGAACTGAATAATTCCACACACAATGAACATCATCAGGATCTGAAGTCTTGGACAAACTACAGATATTAAGCAACAATGGTGAGTACATTCTTATCCTATTGGTGTTTTTCATGAGTTTGGTGATTTTTGATGGTTGATTAGTATCCTATCATGGCCATGCAAATAACATTACTTATCATTTGGTAGATTAGTATATAAAGTTGGCTCAACCTCGGATTTTTTTAGCTTGTAAATATTTCCATGGTAAGTTGTTTCGCTGTCATGTTGTTTGGCTGGTTGCGTAATGTTTGTTTGCAATTGGTTTGTATGTTTGAATGGTTGCCTGGCTGGTTGGTCGGTTGATTTTATCTCATGTGACATTTCAATTTTCAAAGTATCATTACCACTTGCCACTTCAATCGGCATATATGTACTTTTTAACCTCGTTTTCACATTAGAATACTTATGGACAGACTCCATGCCAGTATAATGGCACTTGTCAGACAGGATTTACAGACAAAGGTTACAGATGCCTTTGCCCACCTGAATACAAGGGCACCAATTGCGAGGAGAAGAACGGTAGGTAAAAAAGCATTTCTCATTTGGTGAAATACTTTTATGAAAAACTCTACCTCACCCTTGAAGTTGTCTATCGATGAATCCAAATGCCAGTCCTATTCAGCCAATTACTCAATTACCAGATGTCTGAATCCCCTTTTGTCTCTCCTGTTTTCCTATCCATCTTTCTGACTAAGCGGATGGCTGTCTTGCCATGTATTCTTTTTACCCAACTCACATTTTTTTGTTAAAAATCAATTCATCACATATGTGTTGGTTCTTTTCCCACAGTAAGATGGATACAGATGACGCCACTTACAGTTTGCTTTGAAGCAAGAGATGATTCGTATGGTTTCTTTCGAACTTCCAAAGCGGGTAACATCATTACATTCAAATTAACGTACAAATCTGGTTACGTCACCTGTGATGCACGAAAGTCAGGTTTTCAATCCAAATGGGGATGCCTTTGGAACCGTTTCATTCCCAACCAAATGGCTACTTTGATAACTGACAAAAACCGTAATCTTCTTCTCCCAAAGAGTGATTTCCTATCAGATTATCGGGACTGCAAGTTTTACAGCCTGCCTTGGGCCACAACCGAATCGCCACAACTGCACTTTGATAATTTCTCTACCCCGCTGATGGTGGAGACGAACCAAGAATTCCAAATCTGGTACAGCGAGGACTTGTTCAAATGGGGTTATGGCGATAATGGGTACGAAAAAACGTGTATTGCAGTGTATGGTTTGTATGTTTGAGTTGTCGCCAAAATTAGGAAGTACATTGAAGAAGAGAGTGCCAAAAATTGTTGTTCACGCCTTTATGACTTCAATATTACATAACTGCAACTAACTGCTATATGGTCTACCCGAGCATCTGCTTTCAAGATGACAATCTGTTTAAAATACAGCAGCCCGAATTGTTACACGTACTAGGAAGTTTGATCGTATGACCCCTGTCCTAAAAGAAAAATTGCACTGGCTTCCTGTTCGTCACTGTATAGTTTATAAAATTCTTTCACTGGTCTACAAGGCTATCAATGAAGCAGTGCCTTGCTACATTAGTGACAAACTAAATTATCGCACCTCTAAACGGACACTTACGTCCCTTCTCAATACGTTCTGGCGACCCCGAAAGCGAGACTAAAGACTTATGGGGAAAGGACGTTTGCTGTGGCGGCTTCAGGACTATGGAACTCGATCCCACTCGTAATAGCCATAGGATCTAGTTCTTCAATTAACAGTTAATTTCTTTAACTACTTAATAAACTATCAAAATGTGGGGCAGTGTGCTCCTAAAAATTTCCTCGATAGACCGACCGGAAACTTTAAAGAAGTTGACCAATTAGTGATGAATTTCTCTCTCGAGAAATGTAAAAATTAGAAAAATGTTTCAAACTTTGCCATGAGCATGTTTTGATGAATTAGCAGAGTATGTTGGGTTATTTTTTATTTCATCAAAATGCTCCATTTAAAGCTCTTTTCTTCTTTTCTGCAAATTTTTAGTACATGTAGTTTTCGCCGTGGCAATCAATAGCGCCGTATCGATTCGGCTGTCGATTGTAAATAATCAAAATTGATTTTTTTCCTTAGTATCATATCCGGTTCCCAGAAAATTGCTGGATTCCAGGCCTTATTTTCCTGTTATCTATGAGGTAATATAAGAATTTGCATCAACTCCAAATTCTGTGGAAAAATGTAGCGACACAGATCTTAGGGCAAGTGTTAAACTGTACCGCCCGAACTTTACCGCTGTGGAGTAGAGCTTTCTTTGAGTGCGAGAGAGCGTGACCACATTTGCACATTTACTAAGGCGTATTCTGTGAGCCTGGGATACCTGTGCCTTTATCGTTCATTTCTTCCTCGGTTGATAAATGTCCGAATGTGACTTAAGGTCTACCTCAAATTCCCTGTCTAAATCCTCTCGGAGTATTTTATTTAAATGGTTAGCTTTGAATTCGTTTCAGGCCATAAAAGCAAAGAGATTTCTCTCAAATCTTTGCAGCCGAGAATCTTAACTGGAAAACAGAAAAGAAAATTAATAAATATGATTATATGAAAATCATGTGTGGAAACTACGGATTTAGAAATTAATATGGAAGAGGTATTCGCAGCAGTGAACACAACTTACGCAGTAGTGAAAATAAAGCCTGAAAAGTTCAGGTCATACGGGATTTGAATCCATGAACTTTGCAATACCGCTGCAGTGCTCTACCAACCGAGCAAATGTGATTTTCATATATTCACTTCACGGGTTTATTACGAACCAACATTATGAGCGTTGAAAGGAAAACGGATTAGATCAAAATTATATAGGTAACAGACGGTATCCTCCCCTTTGTCCTCTCCTTATCAACATGACGCGTGACAATCTGCTAAAAGAGTTTATCAAGTACGCAGATATTCTTTGAAAGTTGAATCTTTTCAAGGGTCAAATTAGCAGTTCCAGGCTCTCAGAACCAGCGGAACCAGCATCTCCGCTGTTCGAACGCACGGCACAAGTTAGGGATGAAATATACTCAGAATATATCAGCCCATTAATGAAAATAGCGCTTTGATACATACGACCCTCTTACAGTACAAAAAAAAAATTTAGATTCTCGTAGCTTCTAAAATTGTAAAATATTGCTTTCAATTATGAATAATTAGCACTGACTTTTATGAATTTTACGCCGACGTCTTGTGCTTTTGTTTTTTTCGCTTTGTTTTGTTATATTTTTCTAAGGTACGTCTATAAACGAGTCTATGTAGCCGTTCAGACATCTTTGTGAGAAGAACCGCTCGTAAATGTGTGACTGATAACCTTACGTCAGTCTTGCTTCCAGTGACAAAAATCTACGCGCATTTATACCCCAAATAACTAATGATAATAATGAGTTTCCGACTTAGAGCATTTTACTAATAGATGCCGAAATAAAAACTCGTATGAAAAACCAGATCTTTGTTTGTGAAAGATAACTTTCTCCTTAGCTTAGAGAAATAAACAAAAGGTGGAGTAATTGACGTTGTTTCCCACTTTCTCTTCATCTGCAAGGTAATTTACCGGCTTGATCTGGATTGAGAGGGACGCAAAGGAGGTTGATAATCTCGAACTAAGGAAGGTTGATAAGGATATCGGAATTTGGAAAGAAAGTATATAAATAGGAATTCTGTGTCCTTAAATAAAATGACTTTCTCATCTAAGTAACAGAGCATCAACAAAGCACGGAACTTTTTCTCGATTTAAACTTGACGTGCGGAGAACAAGCTTTAAAACCTGTTCCTTTTTCAGACACCTCATTAATTACTTCAAGCCACATCCTTTATTCCATGTCCACCGGCTTCAGTGACGGCAAAGGAAGGATAAAAAATATAATATTTTGATCTTCTGGGAACAACAATTACACCTGTTCCTTTACTCGATCATCATGTGGTCAAAAAATTTTTCAAAACCTAGAAGCTCAATAATAACTCTGTTCACAATTATCTCAGTAGCGGAATATTTCGCATGCTGTTCAATCGCTAGAGTTTAATTAACACATTTTCAATGCGTTTTATTTACCCTAATCAGACCGAATGCCGCCAATGCTAAATTCCGAGCCAATAGCCCTGCAAAGTACAAAGTCGAATAGAAAATCTCCTAACTATATGATTAGAATTCTCTGCATACAAAAGAAGTAAACAGGCATAAAAATCTTTTCAGAAGTCACCAGCGATGATCCTTAGTAGCGGCTCAATTTAGTCTTTACCATGGCTTCTTCCAGAAAATTTTACTTGGTCGCCCTGTTATCTTCATTGGTAATTAAAGTTGCGGGTGAAGAAGGTGAGTTATACTTTCATTTCCTCCGAGCTGACATAAAATCATTACAGTTCAACTAAGTTAGACGCACACTCGATTTCATGTTCGTTATTTTCAGTTTTTTCCATTGATAGAAGGTAATGCAGTTAACTAAACTTGAAACCATCCAGCCTAAACTTACTTTTCAAAACTCTAAGATAATTGTAGAAAACATTTTTAGGTCGCATGAACGATAAGGCAAAGGCCGACGTGTTGACTTTTGGTAAATAATAACAACACATTTTTTTCTGTTTGGTGTTGTTAAGACAACCCAAATTCTAAACCGCCAATCGCAGCCCACACATAAAAAATACAGGTCTTCCTATTGTATGATTAAAATTAAAACGGACTCCTGGTTAGTTCGGTTACAATGCAAGGACAGGAGAAACTGGTGGGTGACAAAACTCCCCGCTATCGAGAGGCAACAAGGCTCTTCTTCGGTCTTCTCCCCTTCTTCTTATTTTTACGCTAATGGCCCTGAGGGAGTTTCTCTCTCTACGAGTAGTTAAGAAAAAGTTTAAAGTCTAGGGCAAGTGTGGAATTTATGTCTCATACACATGAATTGAACTAACTAGTGAGATCAAGAACTCAAGGATATCAAAAAGCCCTCAGCCAGGACAAAAAAATTCAGAGATTTTAACTCAGACTGGCTTCCTGTAATAAAATTCAATGCTGGAATGTTGCCTTTTTCAAACTGGGCCATGGTCCGATTGTACCAAGTTACCGGTATGCTAAGAATTCCAAATTGATTTGTCAAAGAAACAGAGATATGTGTCTTCAAAGATGCACTACGGCAAAAGCGAATAAAAAAAAATATTGTATTCAATAACAATGGAGTCGTAAAATACCCTAGACGCATTATAAATGGTTATAACTTCAAATAAATTTAATTTTTAATGAAATACACGATTCAGTGAGTTGTGCTCCAATTTTCTTAAGCGTAAACTTTATCCATTCTGCTACAGTGTTGTAAGTAATTGAATTTATAATTGTAATGGGACCGAGTGGAGTTTAATTTCGCTCACTCATGAATGCGATTAAAGACCGAATTGGACGACACGCAGTCCTGTTACCAATTAACCATAACTATTACAATTTAAGAAAAAAAAAAAGGAAAAACATATAAACTTACGACACGAAGTCCCGTTACCAATTGATCATAACCAACACAAATACATTTACATTTACTTGAGAAAATATCTTCGGTAGAGCCACTGTTTTGTAGGGTAAGTGGTTGTTGCTACATTTATCATAGTCAACTCTGTGATTGGGGGATTTGGCGGAGTAATTTGCTGCTTTACCTGTCCGATTACAGATGTCGAATTACAGTGGACTGTCCGATTGCACTTTCCGATTACAAATCTACAGAATAATTAGTCCTAAATAAAGCAGTTAAAGAACCGAAAACATTTGAGGACATTTCTCCACTGGTCGTGGAGGAGAGAGAGGCAAAACTGTTATGTTTTGCTACTTTTACAACTCGTAAGTTTCATTACTCCATTGGCTTTGCTTAGTCCCTCAAAAACGCAACTGGTTCTTTACCTGTCTAGACTAAACCATAAATGGTGCTAATCAAATCCGATTCAATTTCCCAAAGATTTCTGTCGCAAGATGGAATTTATATCTTCTCTTGCCTTCCCTGGCAAACGGCTCATAAACCACTTGATACGAACCGTAGAATCCCCTGTGCAAGACTTCTGCTCAGCTCCATGCTACATGGAACCCAACTGCGTCAGCTATAACGAATTAGTGGCTAGCGGATCTCCAGTAATCACAAAATGCGAACTGAATAATTCCACACACAATGAACATCCTCAGGATCTCAAGTCTTGGGCAAACTACAGATATAAAGCAACAATGGTGAGTACATTCTTTTCCTCTTTGTGCTTTTCGTTTATCCTTGGTTGATTTATCATTGATTGGTATCCTATCATGGCCAAGCGAATAAAATTACTTATCATTTGGTAGATTAGTATACAAAGTTAGAAAGCTCTACCTCGGGTTGTTTAGCTTGTGAATGTTTCGACGGTAAGTTGTTTCACTAGTATGTTGCTTGGCTGGTTGCGCAATGTTTTTTTGTAATTGGTTTGTATGGTTGACAGGTTACGTGGCTGGTTGTTTGGTTGATTTGATCTCATTTGACATTTCAAGTTTCATTTCAAAGTATCATTACCAATTACCACTTCAGTTGGCATATATCTGCTTTTTAAACCTCGTTTTCACACCAGAACACTTGTGGACAGACTCCATGCCAACATGATGTCCACCTGAATACAAGGGCATCAATTGCGAGGAAAGAAACGGTGGGCAAAAAACATTTTTCATTTGGTGAAATATTTTTATGAAAAACTCTACCTGACCCTTTAAGTTATCTTTCCATGAATCCAATTGTAAGTCTTACTCAGCCAGCCATTCGTCCGTCTGCTCCTCCAGATGTCTGAAACCCCTTTTGTCCCTGCTGTTTTCCTATCCATCTGTCTGACTAAGCGGCTGGCTGTCTAGATGTGTATTCTTTTTACCCAACTCATATTCTTTTGTTCAAAATCAATTCATCAAAGATATGCTGTTTCTTTTCCCAACAGTAAGATGGATACAGATGACGCCATCTACAGTTTGCTTTGGGGCAAGAGATGATTCGTATGGTTTCTTTAGAACTGCCAAGGTGGGTAACATCATTACACTCAAATTAGCGTACAAATCCGGTTACGTGACCTGTCATTCATCGAACCCAAGCTATCAATCCAAATGGGGATGCCTTTGGAACCGTCTCATTCCCAACCAAATGGCTACGTTGATAACTGACAAAAACCGTAATCTTCTTCTCCCAAAGAGTGATTTCCTATCAGATTATTGGGGCTGCAAGTTTTACAGCCTGCCTTGGGCCACAACCGAATCGCCACAACTGCTCTTTGATAATTTCTCTACCCCGCTGGCGGTGGAAACGAACCAAGAATTCCAAATCTGGTACAGCGAGGACTTGTTCAAATGGGGTTATGGCGATAATGGGTACGAGAAAACGTGTGCTGTAGTGTATGGTTTGTATGTTTGAGTAGTCGCCCAAATTACGAAGTACATTGAAGAAGAGAGTGCCAAAAATTGTTGTTCATGCCTTTATTACTTCAATATTAGATAACTACAACTCACTACTATATGGTCTACCTAAGCATCTTCTTTCGAGATTGTAATCCTTTTAAAATACAGCAGCTCGAATTGTTACACGCACTAGGATGTTGATCGTATGACCCCAATCCTAAAAAAAAAAAAGCTTCGCTGGCTTCCTGTCCGTCACTGTATAGTTTATAAAATTCTTTCATTGGTCTACAAAGCTATTAATGGAGCAGTGCCTTGCTGCATCAGTGACTCACTTAATTGTCACACCTCTAAACGGACACTATGGTTCTCTTTTCAACACCTTCTGGTGACCCCTGAAAGCGAGACTAAAAGATATTTTAAAACGTATCTTTCAAAAAAAAAGCTCATAACTCCTTTTAGTTTTATTAGATAATAAATATGTTTAATTACCTCAGAATTTTTTCAATTTATTTATTCCTGTATATAGATACAGAAATTTTTTTTCTCTTTCCCCCCTTTCTTTTAGCTTTTTTATGATCTTAACGCAAAGCACCATGGACAATTAGTGGATTTGGCGATGTATAAATACATTTTCTATCATCATTTATAATACATGTACTTATGACATCCGGAAAAAATACTCTAACTTTAGTGAGGTTCCTCTCTTCGATTCAAGAACGAAGGAAAAGAATGCTTGTCCTGGTAAAGGCCTTGCTTGGAATCGAGAATTCACAAGAATGACTTGTGAGATTTTAAGATATGCACCCTAAGTTAATAGAGATGAAATAAAAAACTTGAATATATGCTAGTCTATTTTCATTTTCGCTTTGCATCCGTTCCTACAATGGTTGGCCTCCGGGTTCATGGAACATTTGAGAATGAAACTGGCCAGTTATAATTCAAATTCTGCTTCTATTTTCTTATGTAAGATATCTCAAACTGGTATTAGTCCTGCGAGCATTCGCCCTTTTGAATTTTAAAGTTCAATTTGCTGCCCTTAACACTTACTGGAAAACAAAACTTGAAATCATTGATTTCCGAGAATGCTTTGTCATTCCCGTCGTACTCGTAGGTTTTCCACGGACTTCATAATGATTTTCATATCTAGAACCCAATGATGCTCTGCAGAAAGTAAGGGAGGCAAGAAGGTATTTAAGTATTATCAACTGAGTTGATAACCTCAATTAGCCTCCTTACAGAGTCTAAAGCTGGCTTCCAATCTACGTTATTAACTCAGTTGCTAAAACTAAATTACCCTGTGATACTCTCCCATCCACGCTGCACCAAAATTTCTTTAGAAACGTCCCCCTCTAATAAAAGGAAGTTGGGTTTCTTCTCCATAAAACATCTTATGCATAAACGTTTTGACTTATTTGGAAAATACTCACAGGGTAACAAATAGAATAAGAAAGATGGTTAGATTTTGAGCCCACTAAAGAAATAAATAAAGAAATTTTTTTCGTCTCGTCACGAGCGTGAGACAAGGAAAAACTTCTGAGTCCCCATGAGAATCGGACCTAAAATCTTCGGACTCCGCCCTCCGATGCTCTACAACTGAGCCACGGAGAGTCTGTGGTTGGCAAGGCCAACTCCGAAGTTCATGCATGATACGCGTCCGGCAAACTGCTAGGATCAGCAATGTCGTTAACGTCATGTTTTGTTAATAGGAAAAAGAAAGATGGTAAGATTTTGGGCTCGGTAAAGGAATAAAGGAAGCTGTTTTTTCATCTTGTCTCGGGCGTGGGACGAAGAAAAACTCTGAGCCCTCGCGAGAAATCGAACCTCAGATCTCCGGACTCCGTGTTCCGATGCTCTACTACTTATCCACAGAGACTCTATATGACTATAGACTTCTATCCTATATTAAAGTTCATATATCAGACACCCGTCCTGCATACTGCTACTATCAGGGTAACAAAGGTCAACAAATAACGTAACAACAGGGTAATTGCTTTCATCAAGAGAAAGTAATGGTCCCATTATTTCTTTTGTTTTAATTTTTAAATTTAAGTTTTACAGGAAGAGAGGTGGCCAATATTCGTGGGTCATGTGTAAAGAGTAAATTGTCGCGACAAATTTTCGCGGGTAAGTTGTCAGGTGTGAATTGAAAAAAAGGGTCGTTCAGTTAGAAAAAAGCCGTGAGTAAAGTACATTGTCGTAATAAAATCTGCTATTAATCTCACACCTTGAAATTCAAAAAAGAGATGGGGGAGAGAGGAGTCAGCTGAGAAGAGCTGAGAGGAAGGCAAAGGGCAAACAGCATTGGGGGCCTCTGGCCACGATTAGGATGGACTGAATCATGGTAAATAGTAATATAAATAGCAACACAAAATTAATACCAACACATTTCTTTCTTTAAAACTTAAAGAGTAATAATTCGACAAAAACTTTTTCGCGAACTGAAGGACGAAAGGTCTTGAATCCACGCTGTCCTCAACGAAAATAATGAGTCGGGCGGTGCACGATTTTTCATTCACTTTCCGTCATTCAATATCCTTTATTATCCAGATTAATAACTCAGATATTTAAAAAATAAACGAATGACATTGTAGTACAACGTCTATCACATATCAATTTCAGATAGTGCACGGTTGTCGTTCCCCGCTTCGCATATGTTGTAATCAAATCGTTTTTCTTTTTTTTTCAGATATGGTAGCGGATCACAGAGCAGTTTCGAAAGCACGTCCACAATATTATAGATCATAACGCCACATAAATTTAAAACTGCCTTTTTTTGGTTTGAATGTTTTTTTAAGGGCTTCGAGCACATTTTCCACGAAAAATGTAGATCGCAGTTATTAATGTAACTCCAAAAACTGACAAATTTTCGAATAATTGAACAGGATCATGACTTTTTTATTAAATTCATGTTTATTTTTACCAAAGTTGGTAATAAAATAATTATACGTCAAACATTCAGACGCGATAAATCTTTCGATGTGTTTATCTAATGCGCGGAATGCATTTTTTGATCTTTCACATTTTGAAAGTATTTGGATCAAAAAGTCCAATACAACTTGAAGGTTTAAGTTTCTGTTATCCTAAGAATATGGAATATATTCCCTAAGAGACCTTATTCCTTTTTATTGAGCACAGCGGAAAACAACTGTTTGCGTCACTTGCGCTAATGTCCATATAGAACTGACAGCTGCTGAGAGCTTTGTTTGATGTATTTTCATGATACGCTTTCCTTCATAATAATAGGTCGGTTTGGGCTGCTTAGTCCACTGCTGGGAGCTGGTGATCGACTTAAAACTTTTAGCACACGTGCGGGGTAGAAATAGAAGACCGTAATCTTGAATTGACTTGCTTGACGTTCGGTCAAGGTGACTGGAAAACTGCCAATCGTTTTCCATCGTTCGATTCATTTATGAGTGCAATCATTTCATATATCACTTTCATTCTCTTCGCTGATGCAGAACGAATAAAATTTACAAATATTAAGTATTGTAAACAGCCACGTTCAACCTCCACCCATGAATGAAACTCATTTTTGCAAAATTAAAGGGTATTTAACGAAGATTTTTAAGCGCATCCTACTCAGAAAGTTGGATATAAGATGCAAAACACAAACAACTTCGACCACCAGTTAAGTCAATTAAAAAATCCTACTTTCCCAACTCTGTTCTCTCAATAACATGCACATATTACACTGTAAAGTTAACTTCCATTGTAGTTTAGCAAACGGAATTTGATGTCTTTTCATCGAAAGGAGGTAGATTTTTACCGCTCTCAACCATCTCAGAGAATTTCGTTTTACCTTAGAACATTGCTGGAACATGAAAGAGTATTTTATAAGTTCTAAGGAAAGCTATTGACGCAAAAAGTCTTTAAGGACTAGTTTAATGTACTCTCTTCAAAAAATTTCACCAAAAACTTAATGACCCAGTATGGTTGGATTATTGGAAAAATTTGCATAACTGTTGCGTACAACTTGTAAAGTTTCTCAAGTTTGAAAATTTATGGCGTTGCAACGTTCGCTCATTTGCCATTTATCAATAACAACTTTGATTTGGAAAGATCCTTCTTAATCTTTTTCGTCGACTTCAAATGCCAAGATCAAAACTTTTTACAGAGGAAGAAATAGTTTTTGCCGTGTTATTTCTGGAAAGAACCTCATTTATACTCACAAAGGCTGGGTGTACATAACAGGTGGCATCTGTAAACAATTAAAAAAGAAATGATAACTTGACTACTATCCATCTGAGATATATAATGTTCAACTTTCAAATTTACTTATCTTCCGGGAAGGGTCGATTTATCATGTTTATACTGAATTTATCAGTAAAAACATTTTTAATCAGCTGCGTGATGTCAGGGAAAAATGGTACGTCTCATTGCGTATTAACATAAATTACCTCGACTCGAGGGAAAACAAAACTAACTGTTTCCCTCGGGACCAAACATTTAGTGTAGCAAATGCAATTTTTTTTTATAACTTCTCCACTATGACTTAGATAAGACACTTTAAAAAGATTGACAGATCGCTTCTCTTTACGGATTTTGTACCTTCTCCCCTAAAATAATATCGCTCCGGAGAATTCATGAGAATGCCTTGCACGATTTTATGCTATTCATCACAATCATAAAGAGATGAAATAAAGAAGCCAGACTATATGCTGGTCTTCTTTCATTTCTTTTCAATTTCTATTTTATCTTGCTTTAAGTTTTTGTTCGTGAGTAGATTTTGGTAACTCGATCTGTTTCAATTTTCCATCACATTTCTTACAACTTTTCAAACAGTAGTTAGCTTTCTGGTTTAGGAAACATTTAGGGATGAACCTGGTGTGTTGGAAATTTAGTTCCTACTCCTATTTTCTACTGTACGTTATCTCAAAGTCGTAGTAGTCCTGTAAATGTTCGCATTCTATGAACTTTAATGATCAGTTTGCTTCCCTTAACATTTGTTTGCAAAAAAATTTAAATTCCTTCCGCGAATCCTTTGTCATTAGCGTCAAGTACCTGCAGTTTTCAAATGGACGTTATAAGGATTTACATATCCAGATGTAGATGCTACTCAGAGGGAAATGATCGAAGTAGTTTTTTCGTTCATACAAGGCCTTATGAAAAAACAGTTTTAGCATATTATTAGAAAATAATCCTTGATAAACTCCTTTTTTTGTTTTCTTTTTTAAGATGGATGATAAAAAGCGCCCATCTATTGTGCTTTATGATTAAACGCCAGCGTACATCTGGAAGACAATAATGGTTAGAGTAGGAATAGTGGTAATTAGACCTAATAAATTATTAAATTCCCCATTATCCCCATAAACATCCTTGTTAACCTTGAAGCTTATCCGCAATTAGAAGAATGTATATACCAAAGAAGGCCTCACTGTCAGTGTGTTAAAGACCTTGGAACCTCGAGAACATGTGAGGACATATAAATCAAGCATCACTAACGTAAGAAATTACCTGAAGCTTGATCATGAAACTCAAAACACTTTCTTACTTAGATATAAAAGTAAATATGTTCATAACTAAATTCAGGGTCAGGAAACAAAGCAAAGAAAACTTGGAGAATCTCACACAATCATCGATCAAGCTTGAACTTGTCGGGGATAAGGAATTTAACTTATTTCAGATAAACGACCACCACCACGACCATTGTGCATAATTGAAATGATAGATAATATCGGAAAGTAATGACTCGAAATTTTCTTTTGATATAAGTTAAGCTTATCATTATTTTAACGCAACGTGGCTGAGATTAGGAATGCCCCACTTTATTTCATAATCCCTCTCAAGAATTGGAAGGTAAAGAGTCCAAAAAGAACGCTATTCACAGACGCAAATTTGATTACAGACAATATCGAAAAACAAGGAAAACAGGTTGTCATAGCCCTCTTAGATATGTTTACAGGATACGTCTGTTATAGACACGATATGCAAAAAGACGGTCGTCAGATTCCAAGAGAATAAAGGGAGTATTAAGTAGTTTAAGAACACCTGGTGGAGGGAGATATCCACACGCTAAATTTTTATAATATTGTTCTAAGGACTGATTTCGGTGTCTGATAGGTATGTTAACATGTAAAGATAAATAATTATTCTTAAGAGACCCAATTCTCTCCATCGAGTGAAGCGGATAACATTCATTTGCGTCATTTGCTTTAATTTCCACATAGAACTGACAGCTGCAAGCTTTTTTCTTTAATTTGTTTTCATAAAACGGTTGCGTTTACAAAAAACAGGTCGATTTTGGAAGTTTTATCCACTGATGAGGGCTAGTGATCAACTTAAACTTATGCCATGCGCGCGGGGTAAAAACAGAAAACCGTTAGCTCGAAGCAGGCACGCAATTTGTTTCATTTTTCATGATCGTAACCTAGAATGCATTATTGAATTATAGAAAAGTTGAGTCGCAAACGGCGAAGAAAGTTTTATCCTTCGATTCACGGATGAGAGCAACCTTATTTATATTTCTCCTCCTTGCTGATACAAAAAGAGTTAAGGTAACAGCAACTGGCAAAGACTAAGTCAAAAACCGACAACGATGGCTCGTCTTAATGGAAATTAGCATAAATTTCCTCTTTCTATGATCATCGGTCTAAATAACCAAAGACGATCATGTAAACTCGAATATGAAACTTTGAATTTTCAAGGACCTGTATAATGAAGAAAGCGAAAAAAGGTTTATAGAGGAGAATCAATATTTTTTTCATGACTTAGCGATCATGTTCATGTCACGGCTTTTGCTCTGTCTTCCTTAAAATAATATAGTTCAGGAGAACAAAACACACGAAAATGCTTTCTAGAAATCTTGTGTCTTCACAAAAGTCAAGTGTTCATCGATGCTTCCAATTTTTGTTCTCGTCTCATTATTGTTTTTGACGTTTTTGGAAAGGGAGGGGGGCTGGAGTTAATTATCTAGGGCCTTATTATACCAAAAATTAGGATTTTAAGATATAACAGCGGTAACAGCGACATAAAAAAAACAAAACAAAACAATTAAAAACATTAGTTAAACTTGTCTTTTCCCTACGCATTTTATGTGTTGACCTTCTTTATCGAAATAGATGTCTCAGCTGAAATAAGAAGGAAATCTCTGAGCGCGGAATTGAGACATGAAAAATTGTCCTAAATACCTATGTTCTCAGATAGGCAAAGCCGCCCTACGTGCCACACGGCATAATGGGCATGAGTGAGTGAGTCAGATAGGCAAAAATCCGCAAATGAATGTAGTATTAATTTTTCTCCATGTTCCCGTATTCTCCTCAGTGGGCTGGTTAAGTTACGGAAACATATAATTTTTCTTTTTTCTTCTTTTTCCTTTTTTTTTTTTTTTTCTATTATTTTTTTACAAAACAGCACAGTAAAAGTAAAGCTATAAGGAGAAAAAACCATAGAAACCGTTTCTTCATAAATTCCTTTTCTTAAGGAGACCGTAGAAAATGAAATGGAGGCAATGCATAATTCAAGGCACGAATAAAATTTAGTGAATGTTTTGCCGCCTTGATGTTCTACAAGCTTGCTGCTCAATGTTCTTACATGATTTTAAGAACCTCAATGCTGTAATGTTTCCGTGATGGTTAAAAGATTCCAAGGATTCTGTTATCGATTATAAAACGACGAATGTAATGCCATTTTCGAGTGACCTTGAGTTGTTATCAATGAGTCGTTTTCCTTCAACGGAAGCAGTATTGCCATGGCAGTCAGTGTTCAACTTCCCGAACTGATTATTTCATAAATACTTGAATAAAAACCATGCAAATCATAATTTATCCTTTGATAAGTGTAAGATGCAAGGTTCAGGATAAAGACTATAACATACACGATGCTTCGCAAAGGAAAGTTTCACCACAATATTCTGTATTTCTGGTCTTGCATTTCCTTGATTGTAACTTCCATTCTACATATGCACGTACTTACTTTGTTTCAAGGCGCCAATGAAACACATTTAACGAGAGATGAATCGTAATCGTTGGAAAATAAGCCCAAATGAACTTTATTCGAACAGTTTGGTCTATACACAATTGCAAAAATAGCACGATTTAATTTATCGCCTGCCTAAATAAAGTATTCTCTATGTCGTTGAAAACGCGAATAAGGCCAGTCGAAAATTAAAAGGCAACTATCTGATAACATTTCGAATAGTAAACAGGGCCTTTAGAGCGACGCTAAATGAGTTCCTTATTGAAAAATGCACGCCTCTTAGCTGAGGCAAACCCCATGTCTTGAAAGATGTCTTCGAAACAATTTCACAATTCTCTACTGGAACATTTTCTTGAATTCATGTAAAGTTCTTTGCTTCAGATACAAAACAAAAATGTAACGAATGTTGAAAAAAGGTCGTCTGTTTATAAGTTCTAAAGATTGTTTGACAGTTTTCAATTTCAGAAATTAAACCATTCGTGCATCGAGACTAATACAATTGAAATTTAAACAATAGCGACTTGAGGATTAGAAATGTGGATCACACAGTTTTTCCAACGTTTTATTTCTTTAATTAAATTGAAGTTCGAAATTATTGAGCTATTTTTCAGTGGCATATCATACCTATTGAGAGCTTAAACAATTTTTAAGTGTACCTTGAAAATTCGAGCAACTTCCACCGAAGAATTAGGCAAGCTGGAATGATAAGAGATAATTTATTAAAGACGTCATTTGGTGTCTCATAGAAAGACGTAAACAGCATCTGATATGTGCTTTGTCTGTCATCTTGAACAAAATATTTGATATGTTAAATAAAGGGGAAAAATTTATTGTTTATTCTGGTAAAAGTGCGCCTAAACTATGTTTTAAAACTCCTACAGAGTGCGTGAAGCCGACTAAATGTTTCATTGTGCACAAATTGTCGGGATGATTTTATCATACGGACGGAAAGAGTTATGCTCTTTGTCTAACTTGTGGTGACGAAGCCGTGGGAAGAAGCGCGAACGATTTTACAAGAATAGGAACTTTTGAAATAGTTTCGAATTATTATTACGTGTTGGTTTAACGTTGCTTGAGACAAGACAGAAGACAATTCAATAAACTTTGAGTAATATTAAAAAAAAGTAAGCAAAATTCAAGAAACTGTGTATGACGAAAAAAAATTAACATTTTTGCAGCGATAATAATTTATTTGAACTACATTGTCGACGACTCATTAAAAACTGTCAAGCTAAAAAATATTTAGCGATCAATTTTTAAGTATTTGGCGGAACAATGCAAATTTACACCGCATTTAATTTGATCTGTTTGTCCTTTACTGTCAACTTGAATTTGTATTGTAGCTCTGAAGCCTTTGAGGTTCGAGCAATTCATTTGAATTGCGCTTGCTTGACGTCTGTGAATTATGCTCATTGTGACTTTCGCGCAAAATGGAGCCGTGTAAACTTTGGTGGAACAAGTAAAAGGAACAAGGAAAAAGGTTGGCTTCACTCCTAAGGGTATGGTGCGATTTTAAAAGAAAATTATCTTGAGGTCTTTTTCAACGAAAGCAGATTATCGATGCTCGAAGTTTACTAGCTGAACCTTTACATGATTACTTCTATGCACCACAAAAGTTCTGGTAAATGATATGTTGTTCTGTTTATCTAAAAAAAATTACCAAAAGGTCGCTAAAGTTTGAACCCCGTCCAAAATGTTGAATGTGTTAAGAACAACTTAGAAATAATTATTCATCACATATAGTTTGGAAGCCTTGTATTTGAATCTTTCTTGCCCTTTTGGTTACTGAACTTTGTAGATGAATAAAGGGTTTAAACAATCTTCGGGATTTCTATTTCATAATTGAATGAGGATAATCAGCAGCTTATAAATGTTAATTAGTCAACTTGTTAAAGATTGTATTTTTCCTCGCTCATAAGGAGACTATGTTATTTAATCTGAACTTTTTCTCGAGTTTGAGTCGTTGTCACTTCACATTAGGAACCAAGATTTCGAAATGAAGATTTTTAATGCTTGAATCTTCGTTCTTCTATGGGGGCGTAAAGTGATCAGGCCTATCAGGAGGACATTTCAAAATGCCTTAAGCAGATCAAAGTTATCATTCCACAGAAACCGAAGGAGCCTTCGAAATTAAAGTTTAATGTTAAGAGTTGTGCTGATCTTCCTTGACGATTGGCATCCTATCGAGCCTTGTGCAAATTGTTTACTCACATCATAAACTAGAAAGTACCTGAACGAATTTACAGGAAAGGTTTTAATGTACGTGTAGTATTATTGCTGTATGGCTTCATCTGGTATCAAACAAGTTTTGTTGAGGGGAAACTCGTCTTTTTTCTTTCTATGATCCTATTCTCAATATTTTCAGATTCAGCTCAAGCAAAGAAGTATGTGGTGGCTGTTCTGCCATTTAAGATTCGTCTTTTTCGCTTCTACCATGGAGTTTGTCGCAGCTAATGATCAATGTAGGACAGAAATAAACATACAAGGAATGGCTCTCGAGAGTCATGTCTTTAAAAGGTGGTCACTGGCGGCTCCTCACCTTTGCGATGTCAAATGTGGACAAGAGATCACGTGCCAAAGCTATAACTACAATCGAAAATACCAAATATGTGAACTAAATAACCGCACCAAGGAGGCGAGACCAGACAATTTCCTTTCGGCACCCGCTTGGTTTTACATCCGACGATTGAACGGCAGAGGTAAGAAATCAAATGTCTCTCTATCTGTGTGATTTCTATTTCTCTTAAATCTTCTCCATCCTCAGCCTGGTTCCTTCTCGCCTGGAAGAGCTAAGAATAGGAAGTAAATGTAAAACATATCTTTACTGCGGCTCCCTTAGGTTCTATCCCTGAATTACCGGCGCTGTCTTGTCACGAAATAAAGGCGAGTGAAGGTAAACACACCATAAGCGGCAAGTACTAGCTGGATCCAACTAGGAAAGGAAAGGCGAAACTGATTTACTGTGATATGGTTAACGAAGGTAGGCCCTATAACTTTGTTTGAGCTATTTTATTTTGTGGCGAGTTATCAGTATCATGAAATTATTATAAATTATACTATTATTAATATCATTATCGTAATATTTGGTTTGGATCAGTTCTGGCGTGGATGCCTCTAAAGTTGCTCTAAATTAGTCCCTGTTTCTCTTTCAACATTCTAGATATGGATGAATGTAAATTTAACATCAGTGACTGCGACGTGAATGCAAACTGTACTAACACATATGATTCTTACAAATGCACATGTAAAGTGGGATACATCGGCGATGGACGCTCATGTTCAGGTAGTTTTAATATTTTCATATATAACTAGTTTTTGTTGATCGTCTCATAATTTTATGCAGCGTTATCCATGCATGTTTATGCAAAGAGTTACCACGATCTACATATTTTGTTACACATTTTGTAATGATAAGAGGAATTACATGACTATGGGTCATAAGAATGATAAAGTGCAAAATTTATCGATAGTTTCTCAGATATTTACGAGTGTAAAGGAAATCACTCTTGTCACATGAATGCTACCTGCACGAACACCAAAGGATCGCACGTTTGTACTTGTCACCACGGATATACTGAAAATGGAAGCGACTGCACAGGTACATAATGCGTTTCCTTTAGAATCATTCCCATTAGAAAGAAAAGCGCCATCATCTTTGCAAGAGTTGTTTTACCAGCATACCTTGTATAAGAAGAGATGAGTGTAGGCCTGAAGACAATGGCGATAATGACACCATTGTATTCAATAAACATTCAATGCTTACAGGACAGAACAACGGATTTGAACTTGGGGAAACCAAGAAAAAATCTGGTAAGTGGTAACGTGAAGTGCTCACGTCTAGAACCACAAGACAAAGACTTCTCAGCTTATGCCCCGAAACTTTTCTCCAATTGCATTTTTTTTTTATGTTTATGATTATTGATTATTACAGATATTGACGAGTGTAAAGGAAATCACTCTTGTCACGTGAATGCTGCATGCATGAACACCCTTGGATCACATGTATGTCAATGTCATGCTGGATATACTGGAAATGGAGAAAACTGCACAGGTAAATTTAATCTCTTCTCTACAATATAGTAGAATAGTCCTGCATCACACGTTCAACTACAGTGCTGCACCATCCAGTTGCGTTGCAAGACAATTAGACAATTTATCACTAAGAAACTCGGTCATTTTGTCCTCACGTGTTCACCTCCTCGAGTGTTCAAGTCGCTATCTTATGAGAATATAAACAGTTGTAATCTCTTGGTATCGAGTTGAACAAGAGAAGAAAAGTTACATGACCGCAAGCAACCATGTACTATTTTGATTATCATATAAACACAATAGGCCTTTACTGAGAATGAAAGGTGACTTTTTTAAAGAATGATATGATTGGTTTCACAATCCGCGAAAAAAAAATCGTAAAGCGCGTCGGCGATAAGGGTCAAGATGAAAAAATGTGTTGAACCATTACAGAAACAGACAAAGGGCGTAACTTTCTTTTCATAAAATTCTCAGTTGATTTTTTCCTTACCGAAAGAAAAATATTTTCATGTAAAAGACAAAAATAGGCCTTTAGTAAGAAAAAAATAGAATTTTTTAAAGAATGAAATTAGAAGTTTCACATTCCGCTAAAAAAAATTCTACCAAGGAAGGCTAGCAAGGCTAATCTTTGATGATTGATATCCGACTACAGTTTGGAACTGTGTCTAGAGAGAGATTCCACTGCAGTGGAAGTTTTTGTTTAGTCTAAATTAATAATTAATTTGTCACAATGATAAATAACTTAATGCTCTTTCACCTTGCAAAAGTTTAAAAAACGAATTTATATCTCACTCGTGTAACCACTAACGTTGTATAATTTTTCTTTCTTTCCCATTTTTTTAGATATTGATGAATGCCAAAAAAATACTCACAATTGTCACCTGAACGCTACTTGTCAAAACACAAATGGATCCTTTGTGTGCACCTGTATATTTGGATTTAACGGAGATGGACGGAACTGCACAGGTTAAGGCCTTTAGATTGTAATTGCCTGGTTATGACTTTAAGAAGTGTTAGTTTGCTTGTGCTTTTATTTTTAACTGTTTGTTTAATTTGTACGTACCTTCTCCGTTTGTTTGTTTTGATAAAGTAGTTATCCTTGCCTTAATAATTTTGACCAATGGTAGAAAATGATCCCAATTGAAAGCAAGAGGACGAAATGCACTCAATGCTCAAAATAAGGAGGTTTATACATGTATCATACTCCAAGAATCGTGATTGAAAGCCTGTCATTTCTCAGATATTGACGAATGTGCAAGAAATCTTTCTTGTCATGTGAATGCTAACTGTACCAACACAATTGGATCACATGTATGTACATGCCACACTGGATACATTGGAGACGGACAAACTTGCTCAGGCGATTTTGATAACTTTCCTTCAATGTTCAGAAAAGTCCTTTATGACCGAAGGGAGGCAACCTCCATTGCTGCTCTTTCTATACATAGAATCCCAGCTACTCAAAGCGGGAGGTAATCTGAAACGTCCTTTTAGCTCAAATTAAAAGGCCGGAAGTAGTCAATCATTTATCCTGAAATTCATCGCCTATTTAAAATTGTGGATTGTTTTGTTTTTTTCATATCCTTTGAGATTAGATTTGCAGTATTTTGGATAGGTATTCATTATATCTTGATTCACCAAAACATTTTTCATCATAACATCCAACTCTGGGTTGTGACGTGGTGCACTTGATCCCCATCAGACATTGACGAGTGTTCACAGATGAACATCTGAAATGAGCACGCCTCCTGCAGTAATACCTAGGGCTCCTACAGTTGTGCCTATAATCCTAAATACATTGGCTATGGTCTCTCCAAATCCATGCCTTATATATTTTTTAGAGATGGTACTGACTAAACTCGCTGTAAATAATGTTGAGTGAATGGCTATTCTTGTTTGGCCACGTAACAAATCACGTTAGTTTTTAGTGCCTTTAGTTTGCTTGGAAACATCCTTCGACAAAACATTGGGGATAAAGAAAGATAGATTTGATTTTTTACATCATATTTGTGGACTTGATGTGCATTGTTTTTGTCCACCAGGAGAGAAAATAATTTTTTCTCAATGATGCATAACTGTTTTGCAAATTGAATTATATTGATGATGTCTCAATTAAACAGAATAGTCTGATTGGTTAAAATCGATGTTGATCGCAGTTACGATTTTCTCACTCTGACCTAATAAGGTAATTCCTCAGCAAGAAAAAAAGTCATCTAACAATTTTTTTAGTCTGCCTTTAAATGTTTCCTACCAATGGCTGTTTCGAAAAATGCAATAAGAAAGACAGGTCACCTTGCTTGTTTGAGAGAAATGACGGGCAAAACTTACCTCATTTATGCCTCTACTAGAAATTTTTCACGCGCGTCATTTCAAGGTACATTTTTCGGTTGCGGGAAGCAAGGGTTTTTGAAGTAAAAATTAAAAGAAAAAACTTAAAAGGTACAAAGTCTCGAGCGTGTGGAAAATTTGATGTGTAATTTGTGGAAATTATTTATATATATATATTAGTAATTATTATCACTCAAAACGTTCCTCACGTCGTTGTTTTCAAGGTAATAATTTTCATCATCAAGTAACGGGCTTTGTGCACGCTTTTAGCTATGTCTTCTTTTTTTTTTGCCTTCGACAATTTTCTTAATTTCTCCAAGTTAAAGGGGAAGATTTGTACACAAAAATTTTGCAATGATAAAAAATAGAGGTCACCGCGCTCGTTCAAGAGCTAAAGAGCATTGTACCTGTTTGTATGGTCCATTTATTGAAAAACAATACCGTGTTCTCGGAATGCGTGCGCTTACTTGCCTGATTACGTGATTTTTATGCGCAGTACAGGATGCCCAGTGCAATACTGAGGAATCACCTTTAGACTTATAGCAAGATTCAGTTTGTTTTGTTTATTTAATGGAAGAATATTTGTCCAAATAAGGAAAACGTAGACAAATTTGAGTGTAGCCGACGAAACTACGAGCATAGCAACTTGACTTTTTACAACGCGAATTTTTGTCAGATGTACGATTTGATTGGCTATTAGGAAAAACTATCGTCCACAGCATGTGTTGAGAAAATATTAATCAGTCATGTTATAAACATACACCTTTTACCTTTGATAGAAATAGTAGAGATGGTAAGTTTTGAGCTCGGTGAAGAATTAAGAAACATGTTTTTTCGTCTTGTCACGAGCGTGGGATAAAGAAAAATTCTGAGTCACCGTGGGGAATCGAACCTCAGACCTTCGGATTTGCGCTCCGATGCTCGCAAATCTGAAGTTCGATTCCTCGTGGGGACTCAGAATTTTTATTTATCCCACAATCGTGACAAGACGAAAAAACATCTTTCTCAACATTTACCTTCCTCTGTAACGTTATTGGAGAGATATGCTTATAATATATAGGGCACTTTTTTCCGTGTTTACGTTTTCTCATTTAAACACTCGAGGCTAGGAAATGTCTTGAATGTTATGCAAACCCTTGACTGCGTAGCGGTTTCGCATAACTTTCTCAAATTCATCCAACCTCCTCTCGTGTTCAGGTGAGAGTATGTAAACATGGAAAAAAGGTTCTCTATTGCTTAAGCAGTAATCGGCTCCAACAAAGTTTTCCAGGCATATCTGCTCAGATCGAAGAAAAACTAATTACTTCACTTCAATTCCACTACGACCCAGAAAACTTTTTCACAGTCAAATAATTCTAGCCCTGCGGGAGCACTTATTAACAAGTTTGATGGCTTTACATTCATCAACAACATTTTTTGTGGTCAGCAGTCGATGACTGCAGGGCTTTATGAAAAGCGATCACTGAGCGATCGCGCCACAGTCACGCATTGAAATTCGTTGAATATGGTAACTTTTAAGGGATTTTGTATTGAGGTTGTATGACAAACTCGGCTATTTTGTCCCCAATCAATAAATAGAGAATAATACTTGGGTGCACTTTGATATGGAATTTCTCTTCAAATGTTCAACTTGTTATCTCGTGAGCGAGAGCAGCGAACGAGTAAAGTATCGAGCAAGAGAATATAAACTGTTATAATCTCTTGGTATCGAGATAAACACGAGAAGAGGAGTTCCATATCTGCAAGCGACCATCTATTATTTTGTTTATCACGTAAATACAATAGGCCTTTACTGGGAAGAAAAGTCGACTTTTTAAAAAAATGAAATTATAGGTTTCACAATCCGCACAATCAAAAAGTCGTACAGCGCGTCGGCGATAAAGCTCAAGATGAAAAAAAGCGTTGAACCATTACAGAAACAGACAATGGGCGTAGCTTTCTTTTCACAAAATTCTCAGTATTGACTTTTTCCTTACCATCCAAAGAAATATTTTCATGTTCACGGCCGAAATCGGCCTGTGGCAAATCTTTCAGTTGTCGATTTTCGTTCTCAGCCACGAGAAATACCATTACCCAGGTCAAAGACCTGACTTTAGGTTTTTCTTTTCGTATTTTGTTTTACTTCCCCTTCTAGGAAATTTTGAGTGACAGTGTCTGTTAGAAATACGAATTTTTCTTTTTATTTTGGCAGCTGTAATTCGAGAAAATCTTGACATGCGACCCTGGATTGATCTGATTCAGCTGATTGTGATATAAAACAGAGTAAAAATTATCGTAATATTATACGCGTGTTTAACAAGGATTTCCCGGCTCTTCTAAGGGCGGGAAATCGTTTTAAACCACCGCAGTTTATAAAATAGCTTTTTTCCTTAAGCTTTCTTATAACGAAATATATAAAACATCGCATTAACCGAAATTCAACTTTTTAGCCGATCCGTGCTATAATTACAGAAACCTGAGCGATGCTGACAGAAAGAGCACTTACAGCACACCCGACGGTGGAGAAAAATGTGACTACGATTCCTTAATATTCGGGGAATGGTATCGTTTCGTGGGAGATGCAGGAAAAAAAATGCCAACACAGTGCGTACCGGATAATAGATGTGGTACGGTCCTCTCAGGCTGGCTAAAAGGTGGTCACCCCACATTGGCAGATGGTGAGGTTTCCTCCGAGGTCTGCTTTACCAGAGGTGCAGATTGCTGCAAGAAATCAATTAACATTAAAGTGAAAGACTGTGGATCCTACTTTATATACCAACTACAAAAGCCACCTGCTTGTGATCTGCGCTACTGTGGCACAGACTGAATGTTACAAGCAAGTTGTTCTGCACAGCGAAAGGATTCAGAGGATTAAGAATTTCACATGATCCATTTTTTATGATTAGTGTTAAACAGTGAGTAGTTTGGACACAAGACTACCTTTGGACGACGTAGTTTGATCTTCCAAGTAAGAGTACTCCCGAGAAGTTGTGACAGAAGGTTGTTAGTAATAGTGACCGACGTTTCTATAACCTCAGCGGAAGTCATCATCAGAGTGATTCAACAGTTGTTGTTTATCCGAGTGTTAGAAGAACAGACATCCCCCCCCCCGGCAAATTTAAACAACTATGGGCATTAGTGAGCTTTCAAATAATCTTAGTATCACCTTTATCTATTCCAATCGAAGAGCTTCAATAAGTAAGTTTTAAGCTCAACTTTGAGCATTGTATTTTGCTTATTAAAAAAAAGCTTTGGACTCTTTATGTTTACTCAGGTCGTTAGAAACTAAAGCAGCTTTTAATACCCATCCATTCTGTGCAAGTAATTGTTATTCTGTCTGAAAGCCTTCCACTATGGGTCACGGCAGTCCCTGATTATGAGCCAGTTTTTTTATTATGTTCGGTCATGCTTTCATTGGCATCATTATTTACAAGGATTTTTAAATCGCATTAGGTGTGTTGTGGATAGAGACTGTAAATAATTTCAAGAATTCTTAGTCACTATGACATTGATACTCAAACTTTCTGATGACATAGCTTGGAAAACTAGAACATTCTATTAGGTATGTAATTATGATGTATTTCTGCCACAACAGTTGTGTTGTAAGCTTCGAATTCCGGAATGTTTTGTGAATGTATATAAGGACTCAGTCAGCTAGGAGTGGTAATTTAGTTTTTCGGGAAAGACTGACTATCAAGGGAGCTCTACAGAAAAATAGCTCAGTACTGTGATAACCTTCAAAAATTGTGTATTTTGTGGAGATTTGGAGGCAAAGGCGAGTCTTTGGTTTCCGTAGAGAGTTAAGTTGTAGTCTGTAGTGGGCTTAAGTAAGTTTTTAAATGACAATTTTTTATTGCCTATATGAGTAGCTCCTGAAAAAGAATTATTACACCTTGTTTAGTAAAGTAGTTGCAGGAGTATAGTGTTCCTTATTTCGATTAAATCATACCTTAACAGGTGAATCTTGCAGGAAAACGAGTTGAGTGAAATGGGTAAAATTTCAATGATGTCTACACTAGTAGCTCTTATACAAGCCATTACCACAAAAGACAAAACAACACCAGAAA